AGCACCTCAGCCCTGCCTCTCCTCTAACTGTGTCTCCGGACCGCTCACCCTGAGCCGTCCCGCTGATATACTCATTTCAAATCTTGTCCCGTCTGTTAACTCTCAATGAAAGCTTGAACATCTTCAGCTCCACCTCCTGTCTTTCTGTCAGTGCCACTGTCTCAAGCTGTACGTCGCAGGTCTCTCTACTATCCTTCCACACCCACCGTCACAAATCCCCCCTTGACACTTGTCTCCACCCTGTCTGCACTCTCTTCCTCACTGGTGGAGGAAGAGAGTTGTCCTTTTGCACTGGTGGTGGGTTATTTGAACATTTATAATTTGAACATTTATAATTTCACTTGTTGCCGTCACACAGACACATCTGCCTGTGCTTTGAACCCTGCAGACTGTACATACTGTAACAGTAGACGCAACTTCTGTTTCTGAAAAGTGAAACTAATGTGGACGTGCTTGGAAACTTAAGAGAGAGCCTCCATGTTTCTCTGGGTTTATACGCATGCAGGGAGCAGGTTAATAAGGATGACAGGAAAAAAAAGAAAAAACATAACTGGATATTAGTGCAGGCACACTAAGGCTCATGTAACACCTCAGTAAACACATTTGAAATGAGTTTTACAGTTTCAGTTGCTAGTTTCAGCCATTAAATAAAACACGGTGTTCGTTTTGTACATCATGGTGTATTTGGAGTCAAATAGATGATAAAGCATGGAATTAAAACCTTTGTCTTATGTTGTCTGCAGACCAAAGCAAAGTTTTAATTACATACAGTGTCTACTGCAAAGCAAAGATACAATCGGCCCAACTTCATTCACAATAGTGAGTACATATCCTCCTTCCCAGCTTCAGAGAGGAGCACAAAGTGTGAAGAAGTTGGTGCTCTAGCAATTCGACCTAGATGATTTTATCAGGGTAGTCATAAAAAATACATTGTAAGTACATAAGTACATCAACAAAACTTACTCGATTGCAGCTTTTGTACTTTGAAAGGAAGTATATCTTTCTTTCCTATTGCATCAGATATTAATGGGTTGAAAAATGAGTGTGAGTAATGTTAGGTGAAACAGTTTAGCGTCTGGAGTAGCATGCAGTATCCTCAAAATATATCCAGCTTTTGTAAGTCAAAGTGCTCCGGTCAAGGTTTCAGAAGGGTTTTTTCCACATATAGCAGACCACTGAGATCTGAAGGATGAAGAAAACCTTGGAGATTTTAGTAAAGCTCTGAATCAGCTGTTGGAAAATTTCTCATCTTGCCTCACGTGGAAATACAAGAACCCGTGTTTTAGTGATGGAAGTAATTATTGAGAAATCTTTGCTTTATAAATCTTTGATTTCACGGCTGAAAGCGGCACAGCCACTTCTGATTTCCTGTATGGCTTGTTTAATGCTGAGGTCCAATTATAATGTCTCTTTTCATTTGAGTTTTGAATTTACTGGCTGTGCCTGGATCGCCGCCAGCGAGCTCTGGCTCCTGCTGTAAACAGCCAGGTTTAAACACTCCACTCAAGCTGACATGGTTCAGTAGCCGTGTCGAGCCCTAATCGACGTGCAGTCCAGTAGAGCTTGTAAACGACCCTTACTGCATCCTCCTGGTTCAGACTGAAATTCTGATATTGGCTGATTGTCAGTATTGGTTTAATATTCAAAGCGAAAAGAAGAATATTATCGGAATCTATTATGATTACATGCGATCAGCTGTTTTTTTTTATCATCTAACTTTGTAATAATTCTGCGTTTCTGTTCAATTATTTATTTATTTTGCACAGAAAAGTTAACTTCTGTTTTTCCACAACATACTAAATGACATGAAACATTAGAGCATTAGAAGAGTATCAGCACGGATCTTGAAACACCAAATGGTGCATACTCTCATCTCTTAGTCCGATTAAAAGTGTGTGGATTTTGCAGTGCAAGGTGTAACGGTCAGCAGAACTGAAGAGAAATCAAATGGGGTTGACTGGTCAAAAGGGGATGTCTCATCACACTATTGTAGCTGTTCTCTATTGTGCTGTCGTTGTCTCCAAACGATGACAGCAGTCACTCTCAGACATGTTGGGAAAGGTGTTCAAATAACTGCCATCTGATTTATAAATGCTAACACGTTAAAATCAGTTACCAGGTGGGTCAACCTGAATCCCCCCCTGTAAGGTGAAATACTTAAAAAAAAATAAATCATTGGCAGTGAGTGCTGTTACCCGCTGTCAGTGATGGGTTTTGAACCCTGCAGAGAGTGGCTAACTTGTCACTGATGAGCGAGGTTGCCAGTTCAGAGGCCACAGGGGTTGTGTTATGTGTTCCGCCAAAGATCCCCCGACACCCTCCCCCTCCTTTGCTCCATCATAATTTGCTAACTTAATCCCCCCCCTCTCAACCAACTGCAGCCTCCTCCCTTTGAAACCTGCTGTGCTGGATGTTGGAAGCGGCTCTGTCTGCCTGCACCTGTTTCGATTAGTAGCAGAGGGAATTTTATTATATACTAGATCAAATTCACATCTCAGAAAGATACAGAGCTACTTTTGTCCTGATCCATGCCAGTGTGTCATGTTTCAACATTCCCCCAAGATCTTCTAGAGCTACGTTGTGATGTGAAAAAACGGGTTCAGGGATTCAGATGAGCTGCAGAAGCTTCCGTCTGAAGCAATTAGGGTCAACAGCCTGTGTTTGGAGTTGATGGGGTTTGTGGACACTTGTAAAACCACATGTAAGGTTTTCTTTTCTGCTGACCTTGCGAACCCAGACCTTGCAGTGATCTGGTAAAGATGCAGTGGTAAGGATTGGTGGCTCTCAGTCTCCGTAGGAAATGCAGGCATTGTATTGTCTTTAGGGGGGAGCTGGTGATGGCAGACCAATTGAGATCTTTGGGGATGTGCATGCCAACATATTTACTTCTATCTCTCTGAACGTCTTGTGAGATGATTCGCATTATTCCAACGATGAACAGCTGACTGTAATGTAAGACTTGCTGCAGGACCCTAGCCAAGGTTATGTGACTGGTGTCATGTAAACATGAACATGAATGCAGCTTTTTCATGATCAGTCTTGTTGTCATAGAGTCACACGGTGCATTTTGATGAGATGTGCTGAATGTAAACAGAATTTTGCTTGTTTACAAGAAAACACCACGGGGCACCATTACCTCTGGATGTAAAGTCATTTTGGCGAAGAGGTTCCTGCTCCTGCCCAGTCTTTCATGTTCATTCACACAGGTGTGTAACCCATGCGAAGTCCTCTGTTAATGTAGTTTTCCCTCTGGCTTTAATGAGGGGGTGTGTCTGATTTTGTCATTTGCATAGCGGGCCTGCAGATTTGAATATTTTGCCATTTTCCTTTTGCTCCCTCAGAAGACGAGACATTTCTGCCACCAGCTCTACCCTCCTCCCCCGCTCAAGACATGATCCGATTTGGTTTTAGAGTACCTGTCTGCATTCATTTGCATGTTAACGACCATCAAATATGTATGATACAAGCATCATATTTATACCACGTGCACTTCCTATAGAGTAGGCTCATTACTTTGTGAAGCAGCTTGTGCATCCATTTACATATTCGTCATGGGAAATATGAGGCATTTTAGCAACCCCTTATTTGTAAAGTGGTCCAATAAGCCCAGGCTCTGGTTGGCACTAAAATGCCAAATTTAAATGGGACCTAATATATTCTTGGACTCTACTAGAGTAGCTTTGCTTGATTAACTGTTTAAATAATACTGGGCTTTGGTACTGTCCGCAGCTCCATCCACTGTCAGATGAAGCGGTTTGAGGTCCTTTCCTTTTAGCGGCTCAATCGATGTAGAAAGCCAACCTCCTTGTGGCTAGGCAAAATTGTTGGTTGGCTGGTGATTGGTCACCGAGATGTTGAGCATGCAGCACCCAAAAGCTCCTGGGCAATCACTTTCAATAGCGTGGTGACTGCACAGGTTGCGGTTCGAGATTAGGGAGGGTTTGCAAATAATCTCCATCTTATTTATAAATGCTGGCAGATTCCCAACACATTACAATCAGTCTGTGCAGTCGGTACTGATGAGTGCAACTCATCTGCAGTCTGCTTCATGGAAAAATTGGACTTGACTCAAATGGAAGTATTGTGCAAGATTTCCGAGTGCTAATGTAATTTTGTGGTTAAATTACTGTCCTGATCGCAAATGGTCACGCTGCAGTCTCCAGCCACTATATTCCCGTGTGTGACTATAGCACTAGCAAACTTTGTTCTGATTGGCTGCCCCTCACAAACAGATTTGCAGTTGGAAGTGTATGAAAAAACTATGTAGAACATTTTCCAAAACTCTAAGTGTGTGTGTGTCCGCCTGTATGACCGGGGGGGAAAAGAGAAAATATAATAAGTTCCTTAAACTTTTGTAAGATTATTCTTGCCGTTTGTGCAAACAGCATGTATAAAGAGATAAAAAAAAAAAAAAAACATTTACATGGACGGATGAAAATGATAGAAATAATTGTGTTGTCTGTTACCTGTTGTGTGCATTTTTACTGAAACACGAGCTGAACTTAAGCAAATTCTCTGCCAGTGAGAATGAAGACACGAAGGCGGACTTTGTTCTCGTATTTATGCCGGGAGACTGATGTTCACCCACCAACTTAAAAGGGAGGACTGTTTCTGCACAGATGCTGGGCTTGCCTGCTGCTGTGTGATTTCTGATGTAATCTTCCCCACTGAGCTGGATTGATTCTGTTATTCCTTCAGTGGGTGGGCTAACAGGCCTGCCAGGCAAGTCTTTGCCGTTAATGGAGCATAGTTGTGTGGTGGAGTCGGGGAGAGCCCATAGGAGCTGTCATACTTTAGTTCAATGTAGGTTAACGCTGCTCACAGAGGCAACACAACGCCACACGGACTCTTTTGATCAGTGCCCCATGAAAGGGTTTTCATACAGGACAGTAAAACAGTTACATTACACCACATATCCAGAACTCTTGTGGTTTGGCTAAAACTTTGTGCCTCACTCATGAATTTTTCATGAATCCTTGTGTTTCTTTGTATCCTGTTAGAAACTGGCTCAGCTATTACTTCCAGTTGTATCGGTCTGGGAAACTCACTCACGCCACCTGCAGGCCAAGCTGGCAAACCGGTTCCAGGTTACAATGGTAAGAAATGACCTCTTTGTATTCAGTGTGTTACCCCCACGATTACAGCGTGAGGGATATCAGGGCAAAAGTGTGTCTTCTGATTGTAATTCCCTGTCTTACATTTAAGCTTTTTGCGCTTCCAGTTTGCCAGCGGGGGGCTAGAACCACCTCTGAATTTGAAATGCACTCTTTTCCCTTTCCTCTAGTCACAGTGATCGATGATAACATGCAGGAGGTGAAGCCAAGAAGCCTGGGAAATATTGTGGTGAGGTAAGCCAGGTGCATATGTTCACAGCAACGTGAGTGGCTTAGTTATCGCTTCATCTTTCTTTCTTCTGGGCCTCTTGGACACGGACATTAAAGATATTATATATTTGCTCTTTGTACACAAGTGAAATGTGGACTTTGAATCTTTTAGTCATTAAGGGTAATTATTCACTTTTGGAAAAACAAGCATATGACTATAAATAGCACTCACTTCTATTGCTGGAGTTGGGAAGGCAGGGTGTACATGCGCGTCTTCGTGAAAGAGAGTTACCTGTGTTAAGTGGACTTCATCAGGAAGCTATGACTCGCTTTGCAGGCGTATCTTCCAGACTTCTACCTATCTGTTATCACTTCACTCCCTTGTTCTTTGTAATTGCTGGTATTGACTCAGTGCTAAGGGGGATTTCCAAGGACTCCATGCTACAGTGCATCCTGAGATAATGATAGGCAGAGCTACACTCAGACAGGAACAGCTGTGCTATTGTACTTGCTTGTTGTATCCAGAAAGTCTGTGCCAGCCAAAACTCAAACAGCTTCATAAAGTTGTGTGAATATTTACAGAGTAAGCTTACAGGCAGGAGGGAGAGTCTGTGAAATGTGTGATGTGGCTAAGAGATGTGTTACAGCTCTTAGCCACCAAAAACATGAACAGATTAAATAAAGAAAGTGGCTGCAGGTTTCTTTTTAGCCTCCTTACACATTTTAATCATGCATGGTGACTGCATCCACCATGATTTGGTAACATGAACCCAAAATTAGAGGCAAACCCCCCCCCCCTTTTTTCGTCAATAACAATTTAAAAGTAGCTTAATAGAATATATTAATCAGATTTAGACTACGTCTTCGAAGAATCAGGCCTTTAGATTTAGAACTCACATGAGTTGACATGGAATGCACTCTCACTGCTCACTATATTAGGTACACCTTGTGTTACTGGGTTGTACCCCCCCGTCTGCATTAAAAACTGCCTTAACTCTTCATTCTTCATGGCATCGATTCAGTAATGTCCTGGAAACATTCCTCAGAGATTTTAGTCCATATTGGTACGATAGCATCTCACAGTTGCTGCTGATTTGTTGGCTGCACATCCATATATCCCATTCCAACAAATACTAAAAGTGCTCTATCGTACTGAGATCTGGTGACTGTGGAGGCCATTTGAGTACATTGAACTTATTGTCATGCGTACAAAATCAGTTTGCGATAATTTAAGCTTTGTGATGCAGCACGTTATCCTGCACCAGCCATCAGAAAATGGTTAGACTGTCGCGATAATGGGACGGACACAGTCGGCATAAGTACTCAGGTAGGCTGTGACATTTAAATAATGCTCAAATGGTACTAAAGGGTTCAAAGCGTGCCAAGAAAAGATCCCTAACATCATTACACCATCAGCGTCGACCTGAATCATTGATACAAAACAGGATGGATCCACGCTTTTGTGCTTGTTGTTTAAACTAAATTTCCAGCCATCCATCTAAATGTTGCAGCAGAGCCATGTTGGCAGCAACAACCATGCCACATTCAAAGCCACTTTTCTTCACTATTTTAAGACTCGCTTTGAATTTCGGCAGATTGTGCTGACCATGTCTGCATGCCTAAATCCTCTGAGTTTCTACTATGTGATTGGCTGACTTACTGTTGTTTAAAATGTTATTAAAAATCTGTAAAATGTAAATTCTTTAGACACCATAATGGAATTTGTTTGTTACAGGATTGTTGCATGTTAAATGTTAAATGTTCTGCTTGTAGTGAATAAACCCATGCAGAGGGTTGTTTAGTTTAAAACCTGGGAAATTGGGCCATTTGCTCAAGAACTGGGTCTTTCCTGTCTCCTTTTAAACAAACGCTGAGTTTTATTGTAGGACGAGCCCTTTACTGCCCTTTAACGTTGGATACACTGACTCTGAGTTTAAACAATAAATCATTAATTTATCTAGGTAATTTATCTGTGTTGCTATATAGAAGCTGTCATGAATCAGACTTTTTCATACAATTATCTGAATTAATTTTGTACTTCTTCTTTAAGATTGCCTTTACCACCTGGGGCAGCATTGTCTTTATGGCAGAATCAAGATCTGTTCAAGAAACTCTACTTCACAAAGTTTCCAGTAAGCTGTTTCATAATTACTTTAGAAATTCTCGCTGGTCATCGAGTCATTGGGATTAATTTATATGTGACTGTCGGTATAGTGCAAAAGACTATTTCCCTTTTTTATGTGTTCTTGCTATATTTAAATAGTCAAATTAGTCACAAAAGAGCGGAATAATAAAGACAATAAAGAATTCTCCTTCAGCACCCCTGACTAATTCAGTGATTCTTGAACCTTTTCCAGGATTAATCATTTAAAAAGCTTAAAAAGATTTAAAACCTGTATTTATTTGAACAGTTTAAGCAAAACACCCACCCAAACTCCACAGTGAATTTTAGTAAAACAAAAAAGTCAGTTGTTTGTTTAAAAAATTATTATCCACACCCCAGCTGCAGAGGCTTTGTGGACCACAGTTTGACAAGCCGAAATAATATAGGAAGAGGTGTCCCTCTAGTGTTAGACATGTTGCATTGCAGATCAACTTTAGGTATTTGTAGCCCTTAAACGTGAGTGATGTTTAAACTGTCTGGCTGAATTGACTTTAAGCTGCTCTTTTAATCTGATCCAAATGTGACTTAAGGGATTCTACGACACCATGGATGCTGGTTTTATGGATGAGGAGGGCTTCCTTTACGTCATGTCCCGGTCTGATGATGTCATCAACGTGGCAGGCCACAGGCTCTCTGCTGGAGCACTGGAGGAGGTATCAGAGCAGTTACCAGTGTTGATGAAGAGGATGCGAATGTTTCTCTGACGGTTATAATTTGTGTTTTTTTTAACAGTCAGTGCTGCAGCACGCTGCAGTGGGAGACTGTGCTGTGGTAGGGCAAGAAGACTCTCTGAAGGGTCATGTTCCTTTGGCTCTGTGTGTGCTCAAGAATGGTGAGGAATACTCACTGGGTGTCATAATTTTGCAAGGAATTTAGGGCATAAAATAAAACTACCCGGCGGTATTAACGTTTTATGCTTTGCGCTACACGTCTCAGGTGTGCAGAAAACTGAAGAGGAGATCGTGAATGAGATTGTGAAACTTGTGAGAGACACCGTCGGTCCAGTGGCTGCCTTTAAGAAAGTGCTCTTTGTCCGTGGGTTGCCAAAGACACGTTCTGGAAAGATTCCTCGCTCCTCTTTATCCAATCTGGTCAATGGCAAGCCCTACAAGGTAAGACTCAGCTGTTAAGGACACATGTAGTGCATTATTATCATTAAACACAAGTAGATGCTGGAGGATAAAATCTCTGAATGAAATTTTTTTTTTTTTTGCTTTTGCAAAGGCTTTACAGCAACTCTGGAGATGGTAATGCTAATTTTGCTACTTAGAATTTGAGCGACGATGGTGCATTAGTAAACCACACACTCACTCAAAACAAAATTGAGGCTCTTTGGAGTTGCTGTCTCAGTAGTCTCCAGGAGAGAATAACTTGAGAATACCTCCTCATATGGTGGATTTGTCAACAGATTTTTCAGCTGCACAAAACGTTTCAGTGTGACAAGGATTTCTGCATTGATTCCTCAGAAAACATTCTGTTTGTTGTTGTTTTCATGCATTGTGCCTTCACTGTGCAGGAGGAAGAACACACGGCGCCCACTCTCTCGCTGTGAATTTTCTGGACTATTACTTGTGCTATTTATCACCATCAAAGTTGTGCTTTGGACTAGAAACCTGGCAGCTTCAAGACCATTAATATCAAAATAATAATATCAAAAATGTCTTCAAAGGGGGGAAAAAACTGAGGACTAAGTGGGTGTATTGCAAAGATCAGACCAAGAAGAGAGCGTGCATCTGAAAAAGGTAGAAAAAAGAACACAAGGGTAACAGCAAAAGACCCGCAGGAATCTTTAACTTGCTAAAAATACTCATTAATGTGCCCATCATAAGGAAATGTCTACTGACTTATCAAAATAAAAGCAAAAACTCCAAAAATAAATATATTAAAAGAAAAAAGAATAAATGAACCACTTAAAAGGTAGTTTCAAAATTCTTATACGTTTTTTTTTTTCCATGTTAAGATTTTTTTTTCCCCACAGATCTCTCCAACTATTGAGGACCCGGAGGTGTTTAAAGACATCGAGAAGCAAATAGAGAGAGCGTCCAGACACTGTGCAGCCTGAGTTCATCAGTGGGATGCCAACAGGACAGTCTGAGCAGTTTCTGGCAACACAAAAGTCACTCCATTAATAATAAGTGTGCAAAAATGCTCATGCTACGCACAAAGTGCTGCAAATGTGAGCACAATTTCTCAGTGAAATAAGAAACTTTTCTTGTTTTCTAAATTAAGAAAAGGTAGACATTGATGTCTAGCCTTTGGAAACCAGTCCAGATCCACACAAGTGGATTCATATTTCTATTTTGAATGGATCATACAGTTAGATCTAGAAATAACTGAATAATCATTTTTATGATTCTGGCTATCAGTCATGAAACAAAAGTAATGCAACTAAAGTGCAGACCTGTGTGTTTAATGCAAGGGAGTGAACAAAAACGTCATATGAAGCATTTAGCATTTGTTAATGTAGTCACTTTATGTTACTAACAAAGGCTAAATCCAAATGAATGAACAGCTTTAGCTGGAACGGCGTGTTGTTTGTTCTCGTTTTGATTTTTGGATACATTTTGGCTGCCGAGTTGGCATTTTGTGGTGCTTTTTCTCACAAAGGCATCACAAAAAGGGGAGCAATACCATAAAAGGGGGAAATAATTTTTACTACAGAACAAAAAGTAAATGACACACACACAAAACAACAGCTTGTAAACAAGCCCCCTATACTGCTACTATATGTGTATGTAATTTTTTTTTTAAAGTCCGTCCAATTAACGCACTTTCAGGCTGTGAGATCGAACTGAATGACTAACCCTGTGTTATCAGAATCAAATTATTAACATTTTGATGAATGTTATTATAGTTAAAACTACAACTAGAGGTGAAAAAGTTGACTGAAATTCAAAGCTAGACTTTTGAAAAAATAAAAGCTGAAATGATTGTGAACAAAAACATACAAATTTTCCTAAATCTTGCCCTGAGGATATGCCCTCCATACAAATTTAACACTGAAACTAATAGAAATTAACCTAAAACTAAACATTTTCAAACAATACAAATTAAATGAGAAAACCCAAACTAACTGGAAATCGAAAACAATTCATGCAAAACAGGGTTACATTACAGAATACAGGTGCCATATTCATTATAACATAAAATTGTTCTGCCCTTTGTATATGTATTGAAAACAACATAATAATAATGTGAATGCAAAGTATGGCTTTGTTATTCATGAAAAATAATGAAGACTCATTGACAGTATTTTTCTTTTTTTTTCTTTTTTTATTGACAATGAAAATTTGTTTGCTCACCACTGTTTCGACCAAAGTACAAGAAGTAGTAAATAAAAAAAAATTTAAAAAAAAGGGGGGGGACAGGACACAAAATAAAGCAATTTGTTGTTCGTGCAAATCGAAGAAATTAAAATGAAAAATTAAAAGCTTTTAAGACTTGATTTTGAGTCGTCCGTCGGAAATAACTAAAAGACAGATAACAGGGCAGCACGGCAGGTCACCCTGTGAAAACTGACAGAAAACAAAGCGTTAACGATTACACCAAATGTAAGTCACAGCAAGCAACAGGGTTTGTTTTTTTGTTTGTTTGTTTGTTTTATCATTAAGTCACCTCACTTCAACATGGTCATATACACTCTACACACACTATGAGCTAAAGCAGTCTGTCTTTCAGTTATTTCATCTGTTTGTCTGAAAGGAGGGAGGAGGGGGGGAGAAGGCCAGCTCGGCTAAAAGTGTAGTTGTCCTTTTTGTGTAAATGCATCGCCTGACGAAACATACAGTACAACAAGTGACATGTTCTATGTATGACGCACTGCCTCTTCTTTTTTCCCCCCTTTGATCTCTGAGAGGAAGTTTTGTGCGACTTCAGAGAGCATCGGCGTCTCTTTTATTTTGTCCTTGGCTACTAAATAGTCCGTTGAGTTGATGCGTTTTTGTTTTTTATTTGTTTTTTTTGTTTTTTAAAGAAAGTGCTTGTCATGTTTTTCCCGCGTGTCGACACATCCCCTCAAAATGCTTTTTTTAAAAATGAGTCCATAAGAAAGGATCACGTAGTTGCTAGAATGGGGACTAGAAGTTGTTTTTTTTCCCCACCACTAGAGGGTGTGTTTTGCCACAACATCCAGTCTCTTCCTCTCACTTTATGGTGCAGCACAGGATCATCATCGTCATAATTATCATTATCATCATCAGCAGCAGCACAATGAAAAAATAAAACCATATGTACAAAATGATCTAGAGGGATGGGGTAATATGTTAAGAGCAGCATATAGTAATCTATGGTCCACTAAATGAGGTGGCAGAGATGGGGGGTTTTTTTGTTTGTTTTTTTTGCACAAACTGAATATCTTTTTATACATGTGTTTGTGTGTGTGCATATATATATATATATATATGTATATATTAAAAATGGCATATTTATATTAATTTACAGATAACCTACACATCTCCTGTAGAAGAAATACACAGTACATTATGCTTTGACAAGTAACTGTACATGTAAAAGGTAGAAATGGGACAGCCTGCAGGACAGTTTAGCACCGGCGTCTGGTGCCCACATTATAGGGGACGAAAAGGGGTTGTGGATGTGGGGGTGGTGTTAGAGAGGAGAGCAGGGCTTCTTGGCAGTGCGTGTCAGAATGGTTCACTCCTCAGCAGGTTTCACCCGTCCAGCAGCTCCACTAATTAGTCTCCTTTCAGAACTGCACCTTAAGGGGAAACAGTGAGTAAATTTTAATGAGAGAGCACTTAGTTATTTTTACCCCATTTTTCGATGTTTCGAGGTGAACCTTTGACCTTTCTTGTAGGTATCAGCTAAACACGATGGATAAAGATGCTTTCAGATATATTTAGTGGCATCCTTATTTTAATGAATCAGCCTTTAAAAGAACTTTCAAAGGGACCTCTTAAAATCCCCCATATTTTCTGTTAAAATTGTAGATTCTTATATTAAATATAGCCAATTTTTCATGAAATGAGTGTATGAAAGTAATCCCTGTGAGGCAAAAATTCATACTTCAGAGTGATCTAAATGCTCAATTTCAGATGGGGATAACAGATTAGAAAAACTAATGAGGTCAACTCAGGCACAGGAGCCCCAGGGGTATTTTCAGGTTTTTTCCAATTGGGAACAGATGAGAATTAATGGCAAGGCAAGGATTGCCCACAGGAAATCAGAATATTTGATCACCAATAAATACAGCGTAGGCTCATGTGCAGCCTGCTTTCGCCCTCTGGGGAAACCCTTGACAAGCCCCTCCTACAAATTCTGTAAAAAATTCTGTTTGACTATGTTCTCATTGGCTGCCCCTTGCAAACTAAAGGGGATAGGAGTTAAAGTCCAGCAAATAGAAATATGAAGCTAGAGCAGACTAGATTCACCACAGTGGACTGAGTCAGGTGCCCAAGATGCAGTTTTTTTTCCTCCCACGTTCTAACTGGCATACATATATAACCTGTATACAAAGAACCAGCACAAAAGTCCAATGACTGGGAATTTGGCTCTTGTTAATAAAACACGAGGCTCCCTGGAAACATAGTTTTCAGCTTTAAGAGGTAAATATTGATCATCTGGTACCGGCAGTTTCATAGAGCCTGATCTTATTTTATGCAGCCCCATTTACATATGTGACATAGCTGAGGTAACTAAGTTATGCATAATGATTAATTACTTCCCTGTCTGCTTAATGGATGGTGTTAAAGTCTTCTTCTACACATTTTTTTTATGCACTCAGTTTATTGACAGGCTTCATTGCGTTCTTTCAGCTCAGCCACACAACTTCAACAACAGTGTTTTGGGCTGTAAGCTGTTCTAAAGTGCGGCTCAGCGCACAGCAGAGCCATAACTGAACACAGCAGCAGATAATGACAGGTCTGCTGCTGTATAGCGCCTATAAAACTCTTCACTCCCATCGGATCATGCTTTACTGCTTTGCAACTTCAAACTGAGGAGGTTTAATGTTGCTACTAAACAAATCCCCCCAAAAAGTAAGTAGGTAAATATTTTATCAAGTTTTGCACCTTCAGTAAATACTGCTCCTGAAATGCAGAAGTCTGCAAAGGTATGCAAATGTCTTACTGTATCGTTCTGGTACAGTATCCCCAGTTTCTGAAATGCTCTGAACTTTGCATCATTTACTTTTTTTGCTGTGTAGGAGTATAACAAGCTGGTGAGAGCATTAGAAACTGCCTGCACAATGATCTTATTATAGTTATAACACAGCACCTTTTCCCTCATTGATTCAACCCCCTCTGCTGTGCTCTACCTTTCCCTACACACTTATTTCACTTTAACCTTAGTCCTTATTGCATGACTGAAATGCCTGAACTGGTACAGCCACAACAATAAAACCACCTTCCTAATCTTACAACAAATCTGCTCTGACCTGTCAGGTCATGGACAGTTGACCTTTGGGGATGTCCTGTTGTGCCTGGTAGTAAAATGTTTGAGTCCTTGGGGTTATTGAATCAGGCTTGTTTTGGAACATCCTGCTCAGTTTGCTTGGTCTTACAGCAGTGTAGAGACAAAGGTTTGCAACCGCATTGCAAAAAGACGATCAGTGTTACTTCTCTGCTGTTAATGTTGTGGCTGATCAGTGTAAATGCACTGATGACAGCCTATGTCACAGAGGTGATTCAAGAAGACACAAGTTCAAATATTAGGACGTTGTTTCGTTAGTAAACATTTAGCAGAGGTCTTGTAAAGTTTTATGATTACCGACTCATTTCAACAATTTTTAACTGTTTTTAAGGATTCTCTCTTTTTTTTTCTTTTTTTTTTTTAAGCAAAACATAATTATGTTTAATGTCTCATTGTTTGGGAAACTGGAATCTTAAAAATTGTTTTTCAGCTTTTAGCATCTGGTTGCTAGTTAAATTGTGAGGGAACGTCTCTGTGGTGCAGATGCAGAAAGACGGCACAGTGAGATGGCATCCCAAATCAAAGAAAATACTTCAGAGAAATTACAGTTTTTCATTGCACCTGGCAGGACAAAGAAAGCAGTTGGATAGGAGAGTAGGGCAAGCTCACTTAGTAATCTGTGAAGTCTGGATAAGTTTCATAAGGCCTTCTACGGCAGCCGTGAACAGTCATAATCATGTAAATGAACTTTGTTAACTAATTTCTGTGTTAGACGCTCCTTGTTTATCTGAAAAGCTGATTTTTAAAGCTTTGACCATAACTGACTCATCTTTTTTGGACAGACATTAAAGGGGAGACATCAGGATGGGACCACAGCTCCCTGCATGCCCTGCTGTCTCCTATCACCTTATCACAGCTACCTGGCCAAAACACCGCAGAGCCTCGCCAAGCCGACCAGACAAATATGCTTATCTTGGAGGGGAAATATGGCCCTCGTCTCTTTCATCCAGTATCTGTTTTAAGTGCTTCTGAGGAAAGCTGTGCATTAAACAGGGCGAGATTCTGTGTTGTGTTACATACAGTGTACAGTTTAAGGTCCCTCTCTTCCTCCTCTCAGCAGGAGTAGGTTCTCACCGTGGAGCTATCCAGTCGCTGCACCGCAGATGGTCCAACTGTAGGGGAGACAGTAAGGGGGGAATTATCATGAAGTCTGAATATTTAGGTTCCTACTGTGCAAGATGGATCCAGAGGGAAAGGAAACATTATTTCTACTTCCTTACCACCCCAAACCACAAGGTTAGAGATTCTCAACAGGGAAAAGAAACATTTTTCTGAGTAGCATGTTCCTGCAGTAGAGGAGGCTGCAGTTTCAGGACTGCATCTAAGGGGAAATATTTCTTTTACCTAAGAACTACCTACCAAACGATTACCAAGGACAAGGTTTCTAGAACGCGCTGTGAGCACTGACAGTAACACTTTTTTTGTTTGTATTTCATCCAAATATGACAAAGGAATGTTGATACAATCAGTGTCTATCTAGGTATTTAGAGTCTCCACATTTAATTTGAGAGCTGAAGAAGTCTCTTGGATGAGATGTGAAGTGTCTTTAAAGAAGTTCAGTCCCTTTCTTTCCAAGCTTCTTAATCTATCAGCTTTATTAAATCTAATATTAAAGCAAACATTTTGCAGTTTAACTCAAGTTTATAGTTGTGTAATCAAAATCTAAAGTTCACATTTCAGGACACAATTTAACCAACATAGAAGTGACTTAAACCTGCACTTTATCTAATGGCCACCAGGGGGCTGTCAACCATTCCTGTTGCCCATTTGTATTAGGGTTTTGCAGATACGTGACCAATAACCACATGAGGTTAACCTGTCCAGCATTTTAGACATGCCACACTTTTGATGACAATGTAGAATCGAGTGAGTAAGGGCCCAGTCACACGGGCGTAAGTCGCACCGGCTGTGAAGGAAAAATGGTTTGTGACGCACTTTTTCTTTTAGTTTTACCACTACTGTGGTACTGTGTTAGCGACTGTTTGCAGAAAACCAATGAAAACTACAGGCAGCCCTCGCCACCAAAAACAATCACTAGGAAGTTTCTGCTGCAGCAACTTCTTTGCAACTGATTTCACCCAGTAACTCCCAGGAACCCAGCTAAGGTTGTATCACATCCAAAGTGGTGGACAACTTTTGGAGTCACGTGAGAAACTTCAAAAAAACGTGCACAGAGTACCGTTCATGTTGTATTCCAGTCTATTTCACCATGTTGTTTTGTCTCTGCATCCCTTCACATATGTGGGCGAGATCCAGCCAAAGCATCTGATTCTATCTTTACTTCTACCTGACAATGAGGTAATTGTGCAAAGCTGCATAACATCCAAGAACTGCAAGACAGAAAGTACTGTATGAAAATGCAAAGTGATTGGTTGCTCTTTTGAGGTCATCCAATTCAGTAGGTGGAAGAGTCAAACAAACTTTGATCATGGTAGTGGTCACTGTGGGCCTGAAACTATATAGTCTCCTCTATTGCAGGAGCATTGTCTTCCTTTTTCCACACAATGGCAGTTACTTGTAGTGACACCATCATAGAAGTAGTCATGGATCACTCAAAGGAAATTCCTGTTTTGAGTGGACATCACCAGCGACTAGATATCAGTGTGCTGTGGACATCACAGATCAGGGGACAGAGTGAGTAGAGACAGAGGAACACACGAAGGCTGTTTCTGTGTTATTGGGAACACCTTGTTAGAAGAGAACGCTGGCCAAAAATCAGTATATTTTGAGGAGTTCCCATCATGTATTACTGCATGGCATAATTGATAATGATTTCCTTTAAAGGATAATTCTGGTTTATTGTGATCTTGAGTTATATAGTGTGCATATAGGATATAGTACAGTCTTAATGAGCAGATTGAGTTTACTCATTTTTAGTAGGACCGGAAATACCTAAACTTTCTTTGACTTAACCATTATGGATGGGCAGAAATTTGTATAAGTATAGCCGAATAGTTTTAATATTTACAAGAGCTCAAAATACTCAAAAGTTGAACTCATTTTCCTAATGAAGGCTGTCACGGATAGCTGAAAGTGACAACTAACTGTTGTTTTAATTGCTGAGATATGGGAATGTGGCAACAAAAGGTAGTTCAGAGCAGTGTGGTGATCACACAGGTTTTAAACTGATCCCCCAACAGCCCAAAACCTTTCAAGATAAAACAAACAATTGCTCATTCATTAGGTAGTTTAATAAGTAGTTTTACAGTAGAGAGTTTACTTTAACCAACCTGTGCTCAGTGTCTGAACTGTGCTAAACTGTGGAAGGTCTTTCAGTTCAGCTCTGTCCTTTTTTAGCATCTACGTCAATCTCTGTGGTTTAAGGTTTAAATTGTGTCCCAGTTTATGCTTTCAGATCTCACTCTCTTAAATACAGGGTTTGTCATCAAATTGGCAGACTTCCATTATTTTTTATTGAGGTTCAACTTTCTGTGTAGTGCAAGAAGAGTAGTCTAATGCTCCCAAATCTCAGCAATTTCTTTAGCAAGAACAATATTACCATTTTAAAAAACAAAACCCAAACTACCCAAATTTCACAAACCAGCATTGCCCTTTAATATTAAGACTGTTTTAGCCAGAGTCCTCTTTAACAGTAAAGGGTTGAGGAATCGCACAAACTGTCAGTTTTAGTTTGAAAAACATTCAAGATGTACTGTTCTCCTATGTAAACCTCCTGATTCAGGCCAACTTACATAGCACCGCTCAGCCACTTTTTGTTTTGCTGCTTCATTACTTCAAGGGTTAAACCAACAAGCATGGGTCCTAATCCATAACTTGACCCCTAGTTTGTTTTTAACTACCAGGGTGAAAGGCCATCTATTTTGCAGCTCTGCAAAACAATACCCTTGGAGTTGGATATTAAAGAGAGCTAATTATAGAAAGAGAAAAGAGAGGCGAGGGTGAGAGACCACAAAGAAAAGGAGAGATACAGCAGGACAGTGGTTGGCAGAGACCATGTAAAGAGGAGGGAATATATGTAGACTAATACTACAAATAATAATATTAACACACGCAGGGCCAACAAGCCCAGGACCTTCAGATGGGCTGACCTTGAAACCAATCCAAATACATGTCGTCAGGACTGTCATCCAGCGCCTCATAGAGGACTGCAGAGCAGCCGTCACAGAGTCAGAGAGAACAAGAGACACAGTCAGAATGCTCCTCACACACAGCAGGGGCAGGAACTCCTGCTCCCAGGTGAGATGCTTTCATCTCCCTGTTCAACAGGCAGACATAACCTATGTTTTGTTTGAAAGCCAGGCTTGAGAAATGAAGTGCACTTACCCTCGGGGGGCAGTCTTCTGGAGTGACCGGATGTTGCGGTGAGACGGAAGCCAGCAGGAAGTGTTTCTGCTGATCCAGGCATCATACTGATACCATGGATGTCCCGGGGAGGGAACTGCCTCCGCCACGATGGGCCTCGGAAGTCTTTGTCATCGCACTGAGTGACAGAATGATAGAGAGCTTGTTTTTAGACAGAAAAGTTAAATAATTATATGAGGTGAGAGAAGAAAGTTTCAAGAGAGTAGTCTTTGACCACTATCCCGGATCCAAACAGCTCTCGCTCTCACCACCTGGTTCAGGCCTTAAGACCGGTTTGTGGCTCTCCTTTCCCTCCTGGCAACCTCCGGGACTATTGTCCTTTCAAAGTGAAGTTACACCTTTGTTAAACATGTTGATTGCAGTGGTACTTCTATTCAGTAAGTAGTTGATGACTTGTTTAAAGGCAAGTTGGCATCTTCCATACAGACTATGGGTGACAGCAGCAATCTGCTAAGCAACCACAGGAAGGTTTATGGTCCGGCACCCCCTTTACTACTGATTTCACCTAGCAACAGCCAGCAACCAGTCGGGGCTGCCGAGTGGTTTGTTATCATATCATTCCATAGCAACAAGAGGCTACCAGGGGATCTCCAACTTGTCTATAGGCCTGTGCAACTGAGGCCTAATAACACTGATAAGCTTAATGCTTCAACATAAGTGAAAACAAAACATCCTGGCAGAGCTCATTACTTTTAAAGGGTAACATGACATGTAGGATTTTGGATTTTCTTTTACAAACTAACTTCACAATTTGTAAGAGTATTCGTTATATTTAACTATCTAATAAAGTTGATAGAATGTAACTGTTAGAAATCCTTTAAAAGGCTTAGTTTTCACATTTCACCTCACAGTGGTGTGATGTCTTGTGGGTGATAGTTACTTCTTACCTCATCCAGTCTTCTGTCAGTGCCCAGCGCCAGCAGATTATTGTACTCTCGCTCCAGAATCTGACGTGCCTGAGGGGAAGAGGAAGGAGAACAAACAAAAAAAAAAAAGACAACACATTCAGAAGGCCAGCTATTCTTAGCTGCATGGTAGCCGAGGCAGCTGACACATTACGTTATTCGTGGATTTTACCCGAGTATAGAGATGAGATAAGCAGTGAAAATTCACAGGGAAACTTGCCAGGGTGACAGTTGGCAAATCTGCATGCTCTGATTTAGATTCCACCGGCTTTTGAAGGCTGATACCAACATTCCTCTATTTTTGGACTGAAGCTGGCGACTGATGATATTTCTGCCCATAATTTACACCTTTAAATTTTTATTTTTTTTCAATGTCTATGCCAAAAAAAGAGCTCCAAAAAATATCTCAATCGCAATAAAGATTTTCTGCTTCCAGCTGGAAAAACGTTAGACCAACTTAATGTTGTTGTTAGTGCACAGTCAAATCTGCCAAAGAAAATTGACTAGACTGCACAGTGCAGCTGCAGTAGTACCTGAGTGTTTTGTGTGGGGATCTGGAGGAGCAGTGCCAGGCTGCTGTAGTCAAAGTTATCATCCAGGGCAACCAGAGCTCCATGCACACCGCTTTCCAGCAGGATGTTGGCGTAGTCCCTCAGGCCTATGCTCTGCACCCAGCGGATGACCCGCTCATTACTCCACACCAGAACGTCTGCAGAGACAAGTATGGACTTCAAATGTTTTCACATATGTTTGGTTTATTACAACATTTTTGTACCTGAAAAAGTGTCAACTGAACTTGCACATTGTTAAAATACTTTTAGACTACATGTTAGTCTGGAAATTTCTGATAAAGTAAGATTTCACACACAGTTCATACAAAGCGGAAATAAGAACAACTGTTAGTTATTCATTTTATGTTTTAAAGGAACTGTCACAGAAATACAGTTATGTTTTCATGCAGGAACTCAAGACAAATCATGGAGGAAATTTTCAGCCTTGGCGAAGATGCAAACTCTCAAACTGCTCGTGTCTTGGATGTACTTGCCTCTCATTTCATGCTGGCTTTGCTCCCTGCGTCTCTCCAGCTCCTTCCTGTCATAGTTGAGCTTCTTCAGACACATGATCCCGTACTGTAAACTTGTTCTGATTTCAGGAAAACAAAGTTAAAAAGAAACGGATGCCCTCTCAGCTTAGCACCTCCCAAAAAGTCTTTTAAAGTATGAGTTACTAGAGCCAGATCAAACATTTTGTACATATATTAGAAGTATGATGCAAGTCTACTACCTGTGGAAGCTGTCCACCATTTTAAGGTGCACCCTCAAGTCCTTCTTGGTGAGGTGGTCCAGCATACGGGCATCCACGAGGCACTCCATGAAGTAGCTGCGGTACTGAGGTAGTCCTAGACTGGGCAACCACTCGTTCCCTATCCACTCATGGTTCATGTCACCATAGGCAAGAGTCTAATAGAAAACACATTTAACACGATGTTTAACATAACTCGCCAAACCAATTGCACGTTTTCACTCTGTCTGTAAGAGACAACAGGCTTTCCACCCACCTGTGCCCAGCTGCCCTCTTCAGACTCCGACTTCTGGCTCAAACACAGGGGAAAGAAAATGAGAGAAAATGAAGACCAATTGTCACTTTTAGAACAATAACAAATCCTTAAAGTGCATCCAAATCAAACTGATAGTGCATGAGGAGATCCTGAAGGGAAACACAAATTTCAGCAGCAGCTGTTATACACCTTATGGCTTATGATGTTTTTTGTTTTTCATACCCAATCAAAAGTAGACCCTGTCAAAATTGGCATTTGCTGTAGTGTTCCAGCAATTTCGATAGCTGAAGGAAGGTGCTTTTATTTATTTTTTAACTTAATTTACCTTAAATTGCATGTAAGTGGATGACAATGGAGACTCAATTAAAATAATGGGACAATCTGAATCCAGTTAATTATGATACAATATGGTAATAAAATAAATCAAACAAAAAACCTCCCAAAACGTACCCATCATTTTATAACGAACACTCTGCCTGCTACACTGACACTGACACTTGCCTCCGGAGCAGCCTGAGAATGAGGTGATGAAACGTCTCTCCACACGTTTACAAGTTTCTCTATTTCTAAGATTGGTATTTTGATTAAACTCTACGGCATGCAGTTTCATAAGGATAAGTCCCCTGTATGCGAAAAAGCTGACTGCGAAATGTGATTTAAATAACTCTGACATCTGGTATGTGGTGAGTAACAACACCACAGAAATAAACAGCTGAGAATTGATGATTCGTGACCTTTCATTATGGAGCATCACTGAGCCAAAGAACAGTGAACGGTGACTCAAACCTTCATTGAGGCATCAGCAGCTGCTAAAAGCTTCAAGCTGGCCATTAGTGTTGAGAAGAGGTTCATAGACCGGGGAAGGGTTTAAGCGCTTCATGTCTTCTCCATTAGAAACCATTCATATTTTTCCACAACCACCCTCTGATAATCGCACTTATACCACCAGACAAATATGAGTGACAGAAAGAAAAGGGTAACCGTTAAAGGACACAGCAGGACTGACCGTTTTGGAAGGGGCTGCCAGGGTCTCCATCTCCTCATGGGTCACCCATACATTGCCTGATGGCTATAAGGGACAGAGCCCAAGAGACAGAGCAGCAGCGGGGTTGGTAGTAGAGGTCCGGTAGGAGGGGCAAGCAGTGTTAAAGAAGAAGAGCAGCACCACTGTAAGCCAATAGTGTTATAGCATCACAGTCAGATGATGAACTGGCCCCAAACCCGCCAGGGGTCAAAGGGCATATGCAAAGGACACAAAAACAAAGTATAACACAGGACATATGCATACAATACATACACAAGAGACACAGATAACAGGGACATTTGGCATGCACAACATTTAAGACTGAATAAATTAGTAACCAATACCAACAGACATGTAAATTACACGTTACCCATCTATTCACCTTCCACTAGCAGACAGCCAGTTCACTCAAACAAGCGAAACAAAACACATCTCTAATGGTGTCTGTCCATATCATTCACACCTACAGGTCCAACTAACAACAGTAGTGATGATTATGTTAATTGTCTTGGCTACTCTACGTGATAAATTAGTAAGAAAGGCAGTTAAATGGACCTGGACTATGTTTGGGGATTTTTCCATTAATGATGTTCTTATTAATGGATTAAAAAAATACAGTAACATAATGCTAACCTTTAATAAACCTCTCTGTGTGACTGTATTACATTATTTTTTAATTTATTGTTTTTTAAGCTGGTTTCTCTCATTGTTGTCCGTTTGGCTGCATTGAGTTGTCACTGTTGAGCAAAAGAATGACTGTTCAGCAGCTACAGGATCAGATATTATTGCCTAGATAATAAAAATGTAAGGCAGTGATTTCCAGTCAAGGGTCACTATATATAGGACAGATGGGGCAACTATGGCTCAGGAGATAGAGCAGGTCGTCTAGCAGTCGTCTAGCAGGTCGAAAACGTCCCAATGCGTCCATTGGAGCGTGAAAATTTGAGGGCATATAAGGTGAATGGGTGAATAAGGCCTGTAGTGAAAAGTGCTTTAAATGGTAAATGGCCTGTATAGCGCTTTACTAGTCCCTAAGGACCTCAAAGCGCTTTACACATCCAGTCATCCACCCAGTCACACACACATTCACACACCGGTGATGGCAAGCTACATTGTAGCCACAGCCACCCTGGAGCGCACCGACAGAGGCGAGGCTGCCGAACACTGGCGCCACCGGGCCCTCTGACCACCACCAGTAGGCAACGGGTGAAGTGTCTTGCCCAAGGACACAATGACCGAGACTGTCCAAGCCGGGGCTCGAACCGGCAACCTTCCGATTACAAGGCGAACTCCCAACTCTTGAGCCGCGATCGCCCCACGATCGTATCTCACCAGATAAGTTAATTTTCACTTTTCTATTTGAACTAAGCACCAGTCTATTTAAACTGGACTGGTTTAATATGTGTGCATATTACTGTAGAAAGTAATTACTCTGGAAAAAAATCTAATGTAATTAAAAAAACGTAGAAGTGAAAGTTACTATTGTGTGCTAATAGCAAAAAAAATTGCTAAAGAAACTGCGAAAAGTATGAACAGGGGGATGAAGTTGTTAGCTTGGGATACATGGAGAATAAAAAAGTAGTATAAACTAAATGTGAAAAGGAAGGGTGGATCTGACTGTGAAGCAGCACGCTCATTTACTAATGACTTGCGATCGTTAGCCATTGACCGTGAGGTTTCGCATTATAGGTAATTATCCATTATGAAATGGATATGACCAAGATTTATAGTATAAAATATAAATAAAATCAACAAATTGATCTGTGAAGGGGTTCTTGAGTCCATCTGACAGGTGTTTGAAGGTAAAACATTTAAAAAGGTTGGGATGAAATGGTAAAAGGTAAAAACCATTGCATTTTTCTGGTTTCAACGAGGCTGGGAAACAACCTGAGTCTTTACACTCTCTAGAGTTTCTGCTTGACATGCACATCCTGCTGCATTTACAAGGTCAATTAACCCCCTCTGTTAAGTGCAGAGGTTTTAAGTGTGAGGCCTGCCACAGTTGGGGGAGTTTGATTGGACTCGTCTCTGGCTCTGTAATGAAAATTTCATGAGGTGTGGAAGTGGAGCTAAGTGGTGGAAGAGAGGGTGAGGTGAAGGGGTAGCACAGCGGAGAGTACCGGCAAAGTTACTAAACAACAGGAGAGGTGAGAAGAGATTCTGAGCTATAATGCTTGCATGCATACTAGCAGCATCTAAAAACAACTTTAATGAATGCTCCTGGCTGGGTTTATACAGCCAATGCAACTTCTCACGTCTGCGTGATATATGAGCTGCACTGTAAGTCTAAGTGTACCTTTTGTATAACAGCATATTTGCTCTGCAGTGTGAACAGTTGCGATCATTAAGGAACAGCAGAGTCCTCAGAGTCTGTATGCAATTATCATGACAGGAGGGAGCAATGAAAGCAACTGTGGTGTGGAATAACTGGCAAGCTAAATTACAGTACACGTAGGAGCCATGTTTTACAGACTGGGCCATCACCAACTCCCACTGTAATATACACTTACTTATCATAAAGCAACTATTAAAAAACCACAGACAACCTGGATGTGATGGTAAGGACTGAGCGTGTTACCCATGCGTGAAGATGTGGTGTATGCAAGCAGGGAAGCTCATGTCCCAAAAATATTTGCTAGAACTGTTTTGGAGGCAGAAATTATGATTGCAATAACCTTTTTTTTCTTGCAGAAGTGTTGCAGTACATGTATGTGCACTATAACCAATGTGACCTAGTTAGCTATAGCTAGCTAGAGCTTCAAGTGCTTTACCTACATCATAAAAAACACATTTAAAAGAAATCACAATGAAAAACTAAAAATACACATGACCAAACTCACAAAAACTCAATTTAAAAGGTGCAAAACAGACAGAATGTATGTTGAAGGAATGGCTCCACATCTCAGGATTTAAAACCACAAGATTAAACCAGGAAGTTGTTAGCTTAGCTTTGGATAAAGATGGGAAACAGCCGTGTAAAGTCAGGTCTATCCAGCATCTTGAAAAATCACTAATTCCTTTTTTGTTTCGTTTTTTGTTTCGTTTTTTGTGCGGGTAGATATGCGGTTTATTATCATTTTCTGATATACCTAGGCTAGCTAGGCTAACTGCTTTCCCATGTCCAAATCCTTGTTCCTTCTTTGTCTGTTTTTTTGCCAATTCTGTTGTTACAAATTATGAGAAAATTTCCCTCCTTTAGAGCAACGCTTCCTTCAACAAATATGTGTGGAAATAAAATTCCCACATTTTCCGTGTAACTCACGGTTCTGGAGGTGGGCGGGGCTGAGGGGCTGGTGAGGGAGACCATTTCTTGGATTGCCAAGCGAAGTTTGAGGCGGTGCAGAGGGTTACTGATTCCGATCTCCCGCTGGATTTCGGTGTCAGATAGGGCCGACATGATGGCACCGCTCTTCACGTTGGCACGACATGCTGCCACGTACCAGGCCGGCATCCCCAACCACAACTTCATCACACAGAGGTGAGGAGACAACAGTGTTAACCTGAAAGACTGAGTACTTATTTGGCAATAAAAATCATGTTAAAACAACAAACAAAAAACTTTCAGTCAAATATATTTTAATATCAGCCTTAATCCTATATGGCGCCATCTTTAACTAGAACATTGTGCTGGAGGATTAGGGAGGTCATAAACTGGCTTGTGAATGTACATATGCTAGTAAACATTAGGGGGCAGAAGAGTGTCTGTATTTTGGGTCCTTTAGCTGTATATTCCAGTGTTTTCTTAAACGTCAGAGTCACTACAGTGATCATCACATATTCTTAAATTTCTATTCTGTGCTACTGTTCGGTAAATATCCATGCAAGTGATTGAAAACTGGGTCATAACTTCATACTTCAATAAAAGTAAAGCTACATCCATCATACGCGCTTCAATTATTAATATACCTACTAGTGATAGGTGACCATTTACCTCCAGCCACGCAACAACAGTAGGACCGTCCCACTGGGCAAAAGGTAAACCCTTTCTCCTAGCCTCCTCCAGCAGCTCGTGTCTGAGGGCAGGGACAGAGGAGACCTGGTATGAACACATGAATTTGTACATCCTGAACACACATTTGTTCAGTCTAACAAAACACCAGACTTTCTTACATCTCGCATCCTAAAACCTGCTCACATGCTCTTCACAAACTCCTGCAGTTAACGTTGTGCTGTTGCAGATCTGTGTGTGTGTAGTACACAAAGAGGATTGTACTCATTCGCATTTTATCTCTCGGTCCAGCCTGTACTCCTATAGCATTGAAAGGGGCAATAATTCATCATTGACTTCTGTGCTAACGGACAGTGGAGCGCAGATATGCACAGCTGTATCTGCACTCAGAGAAACACACATGCAATTCACTGACTTCACTGAATCCACAGTCCTTTAGGCTAGCTCATCCCTGTCATGTCTGCAATACGGAGGGCTAAAGCTGACATAATTAAAAGAAATCAATAAATGGATAAATAAATGGCTGACATTAAATTCCTCTCAATAAATAATTGAAAAATAATGCAGAAATTATACAATTATGACAGGTGAGAATCCCATTTGAATTGTAACCATATTTTTGTTATTCCCCTGTTTATTATTATTTCCATCTATTTTGTCTTTTTGTTAAACCTTGGTGGTTTAGACTTTGGCCAGTTCTGAGACTGGGAGGAGACACAAATCCCGGGGAGGGTTGTGTCAGGAAGGGCATCTGGCATAAAAATCTGCCAAATAAAATATGAAAAGAAATCCACTGTGGTGAATCCTTGTGAATAATGTTACAGATGAAGAAAAGGTTTGTTTATTTGTAAGTTTTCTTTATGCATTTACACCTTTGTGTTCTATTTGTGAGCTTGGTGTTGATTAGCCAAAAGCTGCCAAGTTGACCCTTGACAGTTTCTATAAGCAGAAATGCACAAATAAATGAAACAAAACAAACACAAGAAAAGAAAAGCTTGGTGAAATAGAGACAAAAAATGCTAAGAATATATAATACAGAAATAGAAAAGACATGATGACCCCCTCCATTACGTTCCACCTTATTGTGCGCTCGAGTTACATCCGCAGCTATGCCGTACGAGCCGTTTACCCTGGTAGGATTTCCCAAGGTAAACTGGTCCTGGAGGTGCAAGGCCAGGTCCCCCCCCTCAAAAGACTGCTATGAAGAACACAGCACGCTCCTCGTGGCCTGGTCTTAGCCCTTTATACACATGAGGCAGCGCTCCCATGGACCCATCACCTACGGGACAAGCCATAGGTGTGTGGTGCAGAGTAAATCAAGGTGGTGTAAGCCTTGGCAAACCAATCCCCAGTTCCTTAAACTGGTTCTTGGGATGTTGGAAGCTGAGGTATTTCAGCCATATCCAAGTGGGAGGAAGCCCCCGGGCAGACGCAGGAAATGCTGGAGAGATTTTGTCTCTCAGGTGGTTTGGGAACACCTCTGAGGAGGTGGATAAAGAGAAGATCTGGGAATCTCTGCTTCGATGGCTACTCCCAGAACCAAGACCCGGGTGAGTGTCAGGAAAAAAAACATGGATGGAAAATATTTGGAATGGAAATAAAAAATAAACAGAGTAAATAATGCAACGGTCTGTCATTATTTATAATGATTTAATAATTGCCTTATTATCTAAATGTTTTTATTATTTTTAATACTATTTTCAATGCATCTCAAGTCACATCTATTTACTGAGACATTTAGGCATTTGCATATTTTTGATTTTTGGTAGTTATGACTGTATACTATTTGTAAGCTAATATAAAATGTTACCTTTAAATTACATAACAGATGCAGCTACGGAGAGCAAGCTGTCTCTAGTAATTTAAGACTTGCTACTTAAAGTTTGCAATAGTTCAACCTGGAACTCTAAATTTCTTTCTGCATATAAAATATGTTCACACTATATTTAGAGGATTGCTTCAACCTTGGCAGAAGTACTGCATCAACAACAATGCCCACACCTGGAAAGCACAGTGCTGCAGTTATCTGCTCAGTGATTCTGGGCACCACACTAAACACGATTATCCATCTCATCGTAGTTTTTTTCTGCAGAGATAGATTTTCATTTGTTTCGGATGTTTGAATCATGCAGTCGGGTGTTTTTAAGTGAAACTTGTCTTCACACTTTCTCGGCTGTGCTCCATGTTTTGTTTTTTTTAGCAGGTGTTGAAGTGTAACATCTGAGGTCTAAGTACTATTTTGTTATGCTTCCTTTTGAGGGTAGCTTTGAGCACTGGAAACAACCTATTCAGCCCAATGCAATTTGCACCATATCGACAAGGAGAAGCAAATAGATACTCTTTGTCTGTCATGCAAAGAGCTATTTGTGTTGTCCTCCCACATTCAGCGAGATACAGAACTGATAAACAGCCTAAAAATGCCTGATGAACAGGGGACCGAGGAACACACTCGTACTCACATCCACGCACGAAAAAACAACAACAACACAGTTCCTATTCTATTTTGTGAACACATTTCATAACAAAATGAAAAAAAAAAATCAAACTCTGAATCAACCTCCCCTTCCCCGATTGTGTTGTCAAAGAACTTGACAAATGGAAGGAGAGGGCTTTGTAATAAACATGATACATGTAGCACTCTCAGCATTGAAGGCCTCGGTGTGGTGAAAGGGCACTTAAACACACCACACATGGCATACAAAGGCCTACAGGTGACAGAGGAAATGTGTTCATCCAAACACAACCAGATACATTCACTGTCTTATCTATCCAGCACATGGGGAAGATAGCTCATGTTTTATGTTCAGGTCAAGTCTAATGCATGGAGAAATACATCCACTGAACATAGCTGGGGGAAAAGGGAAGTAAGGAGACAGTTATGATAAATCATACAACCAAAAAGAACCTCTGACATTCCCATAACCAGATGTTGCAGCTGGTTATTTCACACAAATAGATAAGAGACACAGATAAGGAGAGGAAAACATTCTGGGTATAAAAATTGGGCCCCAGGTTTAGCGGCGGCACATTCTCTGTCCAGCCATGGATGCAGCTGCCATTGAACTGTAAAAAGGGGGGGAAGAAAAAGTGCTCATGTGGTAAATGAAAAAAAAGAAAAGAAAGAAAGCAATGGCATCATTAACAGCCATGAAGGATAGATAGATAAGAGACGTCAGCTTTGGCACTGGTTCTTTCAGGAGAGGACGGATGAGCAGACACACAGAAGAGATGACACAAAGGGCAAAATGGCTGAGACAATGTCATATCCAGGAGGGCATTTATACATCCTCACAACTTACCCGCTTTGTTAGAGTCAGAGGATGATGAGAGGGAGAGGAAGGGTAAGAGAGGAGAGAGTCAAAGAAGAGAGAAAGAGGGAGAAAGAGAGCGACGGGGAGACAAAAGTACACACATGTTAATGAGTTTATAGGCAAATTCACCCTACGGCTCTAAACACAAACACTTGCACTCCCACTCACTTGCGCACACACACAGAGACACATATCTCACAATGGAAGACATTCTTTAACAGGAGCATCTGTAGAGCAGTCCAAAAAAGTCATCTTCTACAATGCAGTCCTGATCACATCTCGTGCAGCAGAAGAAATGAGAAATGCACTGAAACACAGCAAGACCCTCCCCTCCATGGCCTTACATTCAAATGCTCAGTTACATTCAGATACTTGTTGTTACCTCTTGAAGGAAAACAAAACACACCAACAATGAGATCACAGCAGTACTGATCAACCAAGATGCTGAAATGGAAATAGTGCAGGCAGCTTAATGGCATGCAGTGAGGAGGAGGAGGCACCAAGATGCAAGGTGGTGGCGTGTGGTCTGAATCCCGGACACTGCTATGAAGAAGTCGGTGCAGTGGAAGGAAAACAACACATTTGTCAACATACGGAACAACAGTAATCTCTATTGACCAAACTACATGGGAGGCAAAGTTATCCGTCATGACAACTCAATGTGCACTTCGAGCAAATGACATTCATCATTTGGCACTGAGGCATGGCAAATGTGCACACACACACGAACATACACGCACATTTATTCTGAAACACTCCAGCTGAGAGAGCCGATGTGTGAAGGGGTTTCCCCTTTTGTTTCTTCCCCCCCAAGAAGGCACCTAATGTGTCTGAGTGTAATCTATGGGTGGTGGGTTAGGAAAGCCATCTATAGCTTCCAAAGTGACAAAGAACCTTTGTGCGATTAATTGGCTTTTTAGCCTGGATCAATAGTGTGACTTTGGCTGTGTGTCTGAATACAATGGGGCTGATCTGTGCTCGTGGATACTGATCGAGTTTCTGCTTTGTATTGATCCTGTTCTCAGGATTAAATCGGTTATGGTAGAATATACAGTGAAAGAAAAGAGGTTAAAGGCAAACCCAGGAAAAGGAGGGTGTAGCCATTGTCTCTATACCATGTTCAGACTGGTTTATATACTGCAATGTAGCAGTGAGTGGGAATTCTCAAGAAAGTTTGATGGATTGTTTCCAAAGAAAATGTTTCTTCTCACAGGGTACCTAAATGTCTGTGTTATTATATTAAATGGATACTGCTGGGTGTGCATTAAGGGACTATGATGATACTAACTCCACCTCAAAATGTTGTAGTGAAGTGGCACTTAGGATAAAAGCTTACTTCTTTTTCAATCTGCGGTCCTTCTCAGCCTGAGTGCCCAACTTGCTCACCCCCATGTCCTGGCCCGCCATGTCTGAATCCATCATTGTTGCTGTGGAGAACATAATCAGATACTGTTATTATGAATGAATGAATGAATAAATAAATACATAAATAAATAAATAGTGTATTTGTATTTTTAGTTGGCAACCAGTTAAATAAATTCATCTACTACAAAGAGACAGACTGCAATGTGAATGTCTGTCTGCATTTATAATATATTGTTTGCAAACCTTTGCCATTCTGTCTGAGAGTGACTGCAGTCCGCAACTGTTTGCAGAGGTTAAAGATGGGAGGCAACCTGTCCCCAGTCGCCCCCAGTTGTGACTGAAAGTAGTCATCCAGGTTGCTGAGGGTGTTGCACACTCAATCTCTTGACCACTTGGTCACTACAACTACTTCCATTCGTTCAATGAATACAAAAAAACCTAAATGCAACTGGGCAACCTCCAATCATTTTCCCACCTTTGTATTTTAAGTCTAGTGTAACTGAGCCATAAAACAGAGCCTTCAAAATTGAAACTAGTAGGTGATGACACTGTGGCTATGCCAAGCTGATGCATTTTTAGTATGTTTATGCTGCTAACATGAAGTTATACGTTGACTAGCTGCAGCAGTAGAATTCTAAGTAGTACTGTCCAGTTTGTAAACTCTGAGACACCTTCTTAGCTGGCAAAAATTGCAGCTAAGAGGGCTTTTTAAAAAGTTTTGGTTTTTTTTTTAGACAAAATAGACCAAATTGTAATAGTATTAAGTAAAATATCCCAGCGCTGTACTCGCCTTGTGGATCTACCATGACCTGTCTGTGTGCTAGGTGTGCCAGTCGGCCTTTTTCCTTCTTGCCAAATAATCGTCCGATGGAGGATTTAATGCCCTTCTTCTTTGGCTGCTTGTGGAGGGAGTCCTGGCTGCTGGCTACACTACTTAGGGCACTGGCTTCAGCCTCTAAAGAAGCCACAATCCTGAGGACAGAAACATACAGACAGTATTCAGAAAAGGAGTGTTTGCAACATTTTAATTTTATGAGATAATCAAAGGTTTTCCATTATAAGCTTATGTTAAGAAGTATATTTGTCATCTCAAGTACCTTTTATTTAATGCCCTGCTGTGTTACTCTAACTCGTTCTGTTATTAACTTTTGAAATGAAAGTTTATTGACTTGTATTCCGGGAATATTTGCTGCTTATAGCAAATGTATTTTTTTAGCATTTTATGCAAATTATTGAAGCTTCATCTCATCTGATATCACTGCAACAGTGATACTTTAGCTTTACTTTAGTGATACTTTAGCTGTGCTTTAGCTTTAATCATCCAGATATTGAGAAAGTACTGAAGTACTTTAATATCTTGCGTGTTGAAATATTATTCATAGCACAAATTGCAGCTGAACTGGCAAGTACTAATTGGGCAGTATACTATCTAATTTTCATCAAAAGCAAGAATAGGATGACAGCATCATCTACAAACACACATCATCGAGAACCTTTTTAAGAAATGCCTTCACTTACAGCAGGCACTTACCCTCGTGCATCGTTGTGCGAGGAGGCTGGCAGTGTGTGTGTCATTCGGACAGTGCGTGGCGTCGGAGGGGGGGATGTCTCACACTTAATGGTGGCCTTGTCCTCGCGGCCATCCTCATCCACCGCTGCTATCTGAGGGATGAGGGCAAAGGGGCGGAGCATTACAAGTGACCTAGGACACCAGTAAGTCAACAATTTCGTCATGGTGTCACTGCAGCAACCATTACAGCTCTGAGTTATAGTCAAATGGTATCATATTTAAAATCTGTTGAGCAAACTCTTGGTGTGTGTACCTTTCTCCTGTGTTTCCTCAAATCACTGGGCTGTATGGTGAAGGAAAAACAGAAAAAAAAAACTATCAATATCCACGTGTTAAAGCATGAACAAAAACTTGAACTCCTGCATGCTGGTGAAAAATAAAACAATTAGCTCACTTATAGAAATATCATGTACCATTAGAAGCTCATGAGCCATTGCCCAATACCAGACCACCTATTTAGAGATCAGCACTGAGGAATAAAGAAAGACTGGTAAACAAGTCAGTTGAATAATCAATAAAATCAAAGCCTTATTGCTTTGAAATCCCATGGGTAAAGAAGACATTTACACTGTTCCCACTAGACACCTGGGTTGAATGATGATAGTCGAGAGAGCTCTCCAATGTGTTTGTTGCGTTGCTACCTTCTAGAGCATTTTCAATACAGTTATCTGACAAATAATATGGCTTGCTGTGTGATAAACAGGTCTGTGGTACAGTTTTGATAAGTGAAGTTCTATTATTTTATTTGAACCATATTGAGAAAAGGACCTGTCCACCTACACATTACACCTACACGAGCTGCTCGGCCATGAAAGCCATGCTATGAAGCTCCCACTGCACGGTTTTTGTGCTGATATTAATGCTAGAGGAGGTTTGGAACTCTGTAGTTATTGAGTCAACGGAGCTTTGGCAACTTTTACACTCAATGCTTCTCAGCACTTGGCAACTCTGCTCTGCAACTTTAATCTGGCTTCAAGAAAACCAATAAGTGACATAATAAAGTTTCACATGCCGGGAAACTGTATTTTGTACCAACTGCATTACTATTCCCAGACTTCTAAACAAAGACCACATTTACAGTTTACATGGTGCTCTTGCAGGTAAAAAGATGGCAATTTATTGATGCAACATACATTATGTAAACAGAGGTCTGTAGTAGGATCTGTAGATGGTATGATAGAAGATGTCTCGCACGTGGTGATGTAACATACCAGTGTCATGACCCCCATGCGCTCCATGTCCCGGGCAGGGCTTCGAGGATCAAGCTTAGGTGTGGAGTGTCCGCTGGGTGGGGAAGAGGAGGCAAGCGAGGAGGCAGTTGCTGAGGCAGTGATGGAGGCTCCGTGGTGGTGCATTCGAGCCAGGTTTAGACCCTCGAGGCTAACGCTGGCCACTCGGTTCTCAATCTCCTCTGCTCGCAGCTCTGTTGACTCCTTCTCTTCCTGGATTAGCCTGGTATCAGGAAAATGCTGTGAATATTTTTCTATGTAAAACTTAAAAAAAAGAATCAAGCTGGGCATTTTTTAGCTAACTTTTAGCTATACTGCTACAAAAATAGCCTCAGCTTTCAAGTTCTTTAGAAGTAGATTTCAGCAGATTTGCAACGCTCAGTCCTTTAAGTCCCTGCAGTATCAGGTAAAGTAATTAGAGGACAAACTAAAGAGTTAAAAGGCTAAAAGTCGGGTAATTAACCACACTCTGTATCTAACTTTGTAATTAGCTGAAAGCTCAACACTTTAGATTCATGATCACTTTACACAATAAGACCGCATTAAATCTTTCTAAAAGAAATGTAGCGCTGTGTCTTTTGATGTAGATGTAAATTAGCAAAGACCACAAGGCACATTAACAGCCCTTGAAATAAAGAAGTAAGTAAAGTTGTGCCTGGGGGTCATGAATACTTATTGGCACAAGATAATTACAGCATTATCAAGCAAGAGGCACCTCACATTTCCCAAAACACTGAGTGCATACAAGAATAGTGTTTGGGTCACATACGGGAAGAGTAATCTACAGACACCTTTAGTGGTTTACCTGTGAGCTCGGCAGACACACATTTTGTCTAGAGAGTGAATTACTATGCGGCTCATTTTCTCTAGGGCACTTTTTATCTTGCTTCTGTGGTTACTAGCTTGAACACAAGGCAACCAAAATCAATGTGGGTGTGTTAATTTTTAATTCTAAAAGCAGAGTTTTTGGGTGAAATATTACTTTAGCAACCAAGGGCAAACAAGGTGGAGTTATGGAAGCAGAATATCGCTCCAAACTTTAAAGTCTTTCCAAACATGATCTTAAAAACATATCAAGTTGGTCTCCAGTAAAGTGAATTTAGAACGGGGATGGCGAATCAATACGTCTGGAAATCTGGCCTTCAGTATTAAATTTGTACAACGGCGTGTGTCAGCTACCGGATCTCCTTGTTGATTGCGTCCAGCTGCTCCTGAAGCATCATGGCCAGAGTTTGTGCATCGGAGTGACCACTGGGAGACAGCAGGTCCATGGAGCTGAACAACGTCTCCCTATCGTCGTCGTCAATGTCAGACATTTCCGTGTCGCTCTCAAAGTGGTGGCCTCCCAGGACCCCCAACTGCTGTGAGCGCCATTCAGGCTCCCCCAGTGACTTTGCCTGCATACAGAGACAGAGTGAAACTGTGACTACAAAACAATATCTTATTAGTTATGAACTAATATTTTGAGATCATTACTGGAAACTGAAAACATAGTCATGCAATACAATTTTATGAGAAGCACTTATGCTTTTCCCCCCTGATTATGTCTTATTACTAACTCTAATAAGACTTAATGACTTCTCTAAGCAGTAGTAGTGGCGACACACCAAAAGATGGAAATGGTTTTTGTTTCATTTAAAAGCAGTATCCTATATATTTATAATGTGTGCTGCACTCATAGTTGAATTACCATAACCTGTATTTAGAATCCAAAAACTTTAAACCTCCAAAATAAGAGCCTACAGAAAATGTTCACGTTAAGCCTGTCAATAATGTTATATTAAAGGTTCAAGGCCCAATTCAGACCCAGTACATTGTTGCCAGGTCTTTGTCTCTGGTCATCACATTTGGTAAATGTAGTGTGTGCGCATCACTAACAGTAACCCCTTCATTCCAATCAAGGTATGCCGGAAAGCATCTCTGAATGCACAATACATAGAGCCTAGAAGCAGATGGGCTACAGCAGCAGAAGACCACACAGAGTCCCACTCCTGTCAAGAACAAGAAAGCGAGGCTACGCATTACCTGAGCTCATTAAAATTGGACAACAGAAGATATGAAAAATGTTCTCTAGTCTGATGAGTCTTGATTTCTGCTGCTACTTTTAGGATGGCAGGGTCAGAATTTGTTACAAACAACATCAGAACATGGATTCATCCCACCTTGTGTGAACAGTTCAGACTGCTGCTATCAGTGTAATGGTATGGGGAATAGGCTTCATGTCACAAAGCTCAATCATGTCAAACTGGTTTCTCAAACATAACAATAAATTTACAGCAATCAGAAAGTCTCTACAGCCACTAAATCTGAAGCAGCTGTATGAAGCTCTGAGGAGTCCTTCTAGCAACTTGTTTAATCTATGTGATACAGAATAAAGGCAACCCAACCCAGTACGGGAAGGTGTAATGAAGTTTCCAGTGAGTGTATATTGAAATATTTTAGTCCCTGTTGGATTTGCCAAACTGGAACTTCTCCAGTATCTAAATTTAACTCACTGCGTTAAAGCTGACACTGTTCATTGACAGACCACTAAAGAAGCTCTTAGATGTTTTTAAAATAGAAACATTTAAATATAAGTAAGATTGAAAGGCAGACAAACCAGACGTTATTCCTCACCTTGGTTTCTCGCAGACCTATTCGACCTCTCCTTTGTCGATGTATGACCTTTGCTGAGCGGTAGTGGTCCGACTGGGTTTCAGCCAGAGATCCCAAAGAGAATCGAAGCTCAGCTGATGTGTCCAGATGGGATCTGGGAAACAACTTTTATGAGTATTATTGAAGCTAAACGCAAAATGCTTGGTTGCAGATTTTGTGTTTTTCATATGACAGATGAATAATATCTGAACCTGTTAAAGCAAATCCTTCAAACACAATCGTTAGCAGTGATTTTGTTTGGGTCGTAAAGCAGATTGCCAGTAGATAAGACACAGCAAGAAAACTTGCAGTACCGATTAGTTACACAAGCAGGAAACCAGTCAGATGTTATATTTTGATACCTCAAGCGTACCTATTAGTCACAGTGAGGAGGTGCAAAGTGTACTTCTTGAAGGATAAGAGCTTGTTATGCATGCTTCTATGGCTGCAAATTGTTTGTCTTTGGAAGAGATTAAGGCTGCCACTGTCAACACGTCAGCTTTGTAAGATTAGAACTTCAAGCAGCATGAAATGGAAACCAGAAAATATCCAAAAATAGATGCCAAAAGTTCCATTATACCAGTGTTTCTAACAATAGTGTAACAGAGCAAGTAGTTTTCACAGAAAGATAAAATAACAGGAAAGCTCCTGGAGACGGAGTATCTATTTGCCTCTCTTTGCTTCCTGTTCCATAAACACACACATTAGACTAAATCTGAATCTCTCGTGGCCTTTTATTGCATGTCTAGTGTAACACATCTTCTTTATGTTGCAGATGTTTTCACAGCATCCACGTTTTTCTTGAGTCATTTGTTCACCTTGTAATACGTCGTGTATCCACCACTAACGTTTGGACACAGAACCAACTAATGTTCAGGGATCACCGTGCTGCCACTGAACAAGCCAATTTTGTTTTTTCTTTAGCCCATTTCTGAGAAGCACTTGACTGGCAAGCTCCCTCAGCAACAGAAACATACATTCCTTGTCTTTATTCTCCTAGTAAACTATACATTTTGATAAGGAAAATACATTTAGACATACATAGTGATTAGGGATTGTTATGAATAGTTGACTGGACACTTAAATGTTGATGTTGTTGCCAGTGGAGGCAAATGTCACTGGCCACAAATGAGGGCTGCAGCCCCGACATGCAACTGAACACAAGTGATATTATTTGATTAACAAGGAATGTGATTAATGGTTTTATATAGCTCCTAAAATACATACAAAATATGTTTCTGGCCAGTTTTTAACTTTGTCCATCTAAAGTTAGTTATAAAGCTTAGTTTTTTATTCCGATTTAAATTTAACAGCAAGTTTATTCTAATTGAATTGATTAAAATGTGTTGTCTGACTTTTACAATCCCACAAATTAATTTAATTAGTGATATAAATTAATCATTCTCAAATAAAAACAAGAAAAATGTTATTTATTAAGGGGAAAAAAAAATCTTTTCAACAGTGATTAAAACCAAAGATGATTTTATTTGGCTCCTGGAATGTGTCAAAGATTGCTATTAAAGCAACTGTAGGCTTTTATTGTGAAAGACAAGAAAAAGAGGAAGCCTATTTCTCCCCCTGTCCAATATGGTGGTCCAAAAGCAGCAACTGATGCAGTATATACATGTGGAGGTACGTTACAAACTGCGTCTTACATCCGGATACACTCTCACACACACACACACACAGAAAACCGACCTACCGTGACAGCGTGGGTTCTGTGAGGGAGCCTGCCCTCAATCTGAATTGGTCGAGCTCCGATCTCAGTTTCTCAATATCCTCTGCCAGCTGCGACTGGACAAAACAATTTCTCTACATCATTGTCTGTGATATTACATGCCCAAAAAATGAAATGATTATCCTACCCCTTTATACCACTAGTCATACTAGTGACATGGCTGCAGCATGTGGAGCTGATTACATTTACAGGTCTGAGTAGGTGACAGTTGTAATTTCTACTGTTTTCAGTAGCCACTTTATTATTCTATCCCTTGCAGGAGCTTTTCAATATTGAAGGTTTATAAAAAATTAAACTAGTGCCAATAACCAAACTCATTATTGTTGTACTCAAAAGTCAATTATTACACTAAGCTCATGTAAAATGTAGACATTTTGAAACAGGAGGTAATCATTTCTCGATCTCTACAACCTACTTTTTCTTGGATTGACTCCTCGTACTGCTTTCTGTAAGTTTCCGAGTCTTGGATTAGCATATTCTGCAAAGAAAGGGGGGGGGGGGGGGGGGGAGTAAAGAAGTGAGAAAAATACATCTTTTAATGACCTTGATGCAATTGATATTGACAGGTTTCCATTGACGTGTCAGGCGTTTTTAACCTTCTCTTCGAGAGCTGCCATTCTCTCCTTCAGGTGGAGCTGAAGTCGCTCGTTGGACTCAGTGAGGAGTCTGTCCACTGTGTCTGAGAGTCTCTTATTGTGCTCTTCATTCATCTTTTCCCTCTGCCGAGCCTGAAGGAGAAAAATACAGATAAACCAACACAAAACAAGCACATTTGTATGAGAATAAGACATCAGTCTAAATTGTTTCTGATGTGATGAAAGCCTCTCAGCGGGAACTAGAATAACTAATTGCATGGCCTTTACAGCTATTCTATTTTTAGTTTAAGATCAGAACTTTATATGAGGACAACACTTCGACAAATCAGTGTAGTGTATCATAAATTATGTGATTATGTAAATGAACCCCAAGCACCACATTTCAGTAAAGATTACCTCAAAGAAATTACTATGCTTCTAGTGTGGCTGCACTTTAGATCTCTCTCTGAGGTCTGATTCTGACCACTTGTGCACTGGATCCCCGCTTCTGTGTCTGAACAGCCACATAATTTTCTTTATTTTAGAGAAAAAAAATAATCACAGGGAGTGAAATCTGGTGAGTGGGGCTGGTGGCGACTAAAGATGGCGTTGGCTTGTTTCTGCGCACAATAGAACAAGGTCACACATGTTCTCTGATAAATGCCTCAGGATGCTACAGCAGAACTCTGCATTGACAGCCTCGAGGACAAATCCAGAATGCACAAACCCGTGAATGTCGACACAAAGGACGAGTATACTCCTTGTTAGCCTTCTGACCTTATGCACTAGCTTCAGGCTTGGCCACTGAGCAACAGTTCCACCGAAAACTGCTGTTTGGTCCCTGGGTTATTGCTGGAGACCTCACCAGGGAGTATTACTGTATCCGGATGAAAGTTGGGTTCGTTTGACACATGAGTGGAGTGCCGCGATCAGTACGGGAATTCCAAGTGACAATCTAAAATTAACAGCAGTACTGGAAGCAATGCAATAGTGCATGAGAAGAGGACACTGAGTGGGAAATTGGTCAAATTGAAATCTGATTAAGCCTCCTCATTTTTATATTTATTTTTTACATGCTGAATAATACACAGCTATTTCTCCCATAATGGCTTTTCTTGACTCCCTGTTAAATAAAATATTTAATAGAAAATCCTTCTCCTCACATACAAGGTCTTGAATAATCAGGCCCCATGTTATCTTAAAGACCTCATAGTACCTTATGAACCCAGCAGAGCACTTTGTTCTCAAACTGCTGGTTCGTAGGATATTTAAAAGTAGAATGGGAGGCAGAGCCTTCAGCTTTCAGGCCCTCTTCTGTGGAATTAGCTTCCAATTTGAATTCGGGAGACAGATACCCTCTCCACTTCTAAGATTAGGCTTAAAACTTTTATTTTTGATGAAGAACATCATTAGGGCTGCATCAGGTGATCCTCCCTGCAAAAGGCCTAAGCTGCTGGGGGATTCCTATGATGCACTGGGAGTGTTTCTTTTTCACTCACTATATATTTATACACCACTGCATTTAATTATTAGCTATTATCAATTTCTGGCTCCCATCCACAGTGTATCTTTTATCCTTTCTCCCTCCCATCACCACCGGCTAGTCATGGCAGACGGCTGCCCCTCCCTGAACCTGGCTCTGCTGGAGGTTTCTTCCTATTAAAAAGGAGTTTCTCCTTCCCACTGTTGCCAAGTGCTTTCTCAAAGGGGTCATTTGACAGTTGGGGTTTTCTCTGTACTATATGACTGCTGTTGGAAAGATTGCCCACTATTGCATTTTTCAAATAAGGAAAACAACAACAAAAAAACTTTGAAAATAACTCATGAGGTTAAACATCTTCATACAGACAGCATTCTCGCTTGAATTTGCTATCATACACTAAAGTGTGACGTGAAAACACTAGCGTCTTTTAGAATTACTCATTTGCATCATTTGTGAGTATTTTGCAAACCATTATATCAGCAGAGTACGTGAAACACCCATTTGGTCAAGCTTCATTGGTGACAAATCAGACAGTGTGCCATCAGTTGCAGTCGCTTCAAGCTGTCTTGCTCATGCAGAAGTGGCTGCCTGGTTAACGCTGCTTGGCACAACGCCTCCGCAGTGACTCACCCTCAGCAGCTCCTGGTTCTTCTCCTCCAGCTGGCATTCCAAGTGCCTCATTCGCTCCTCAATGCTCCCGTGACGCTCTTCCGCCTACAGTTGGATCACAGACAGCACAGACAGGACAAAAAAAAAGAGAGGCCACGATGATCTGTGTGCTTGACAGCCTAAGGGCCAACAAAGAAAAATGGTGGCGACAACACAAGCCAAAGCTTCTACCCCAAACTCAAAGATGGATATCTATGTTTTAAAGCGTAACTGGAAAGACAGCTGATTGAAACAAACAGTGACAAGGAGAAAGATGGAGAACAAGGCCACCAAAGGACAGAATGAAAGAGGAAGAGAGCTGCTCCAGCACTGCCAAGTATGAGCTCCAGCCAGAAGTGCCATGCGGCTGTCCCATGGTGGTAGAACAGCCAGAGCAGAATCCCAGTAAACACGCCCGCCACAAAACACTAATAAGATAAATGAATGATATCTGTTCTCTATTGGAGTTGGCAATAGCTGTGATGCCCTGTGGAACTACCTTCCTAAGAATGGAGTTCATGTCTTGGAGTTTAGCTTCCATTACAAAGTGATAATCATCAGGAGAGGAAGAGGAGCTGGAGTCAGACTATGTGGCCGAGGAAGAGGAGAGGAACATGTTGAAACGTCATGACACCACGTGGACACTTACACAAATGTACAGGAAAAAAAAATGAGGGCATCTGTGGGAATACGTCAACAGCATGTGTGTTAATGTACAATATGTACAAACGTGTGCGCTTACCTTGGTGAGAGCTGCTATCCTCTGGGCTAGTTCGGCCTCAACCTCCGGGAGTGTCTCAGCCTTCCTCATGGTCTGCTGGAGTTTCTGTTCTGCAAGCTCCAACCTCTCCTGTAGTTGTCTGTTCTTCTCCTCCATCTGCACTCAAACATCACAGACAGCAAAGACATTAGCTGATAGTTGAACAACGAGACTTATGAGATTTTGTATCTGACTTCCTGCAGATTTTGTGGAGGGATTGCAGCCAAAAGTAAACAAAAAATATAAATGTGCACGTTGTGAGGAAAAGAGTCACATTAGCCGACAGTCAAAGTTAATGTACTGAACTGGTTCTTATATAGCGCTTATCTATTCTACTTGAGCACTCTATACAACATGTTACATTCACAGTAGCACTGCATCGACATGTAAGTGGTTTCTATTTAACATTTACACACATTCAAATTCCAATGGATGCATCTGTGAGCAACCTGAGGTTCTGTATCCTGCACACAGATACTTTGGATGCGAATTGGACCAGCCAGAGATTAAACCACCAACCTCCTGATGACCTGCTCTACTTCCTGAGACACAACCACTGAAATAAATTTAAACACTCTAAACCAACTAAGGATCTGCACTTAGCTTAAATCTGGGTTCTAACTTATTGCCTTGAAGCCAATAAATTTGCAGGAATTCTTAATGCTGAAAGAAAGAATGATAAATGATTACACAGGAGATTTATTCAATAAATTACCTTCCAATGCTTTGACCATACATCATCCAGAAAAGAAATCCAGAATAGTGTTTTTCTTGCAATAACAACAAACCCTAGCAATGACAAATTAAAGTATGAGCAGATTATTAGAACACTACACTATTTGAATGAAAGAGTTTTCAGTGTGTTCCAATGCTGTCCTTGTTAACAGAGTATAACGAAAATGAACTCTATAAATGTGATTCTCTTCCTTCTTCCTATTCAGTGTCAGCAGAGCATAATTGCCTGTTAGAAAATAGAATCACAAATGTTTGTCTTTCAGAGATGAGGCACACTCTGGCAGTGTGCCTCATCTCTTCTTTAGAATAGCAGAGTCAGAGTCTGCACTGCCAAGAGTGACACTGGCAACTTATAGACAGCTGATGCAGATCCTGATTAGGCATTCAGCTGGTACTTGCTATCATTAAGATGGAACTCAAACTTAGCATTAAATGAAACTGGAAACAAGTGACTTGCTTCCCCATTGGACAGTAAGAATTTTCTCCCTCACTAGCTTGGGATCAGTTTTAAGACTTATTTAAGGACTGGCTTGGCAGCCTTTGCCATCGGCGACAGATGCTCTGGTCCCCGAAGCTCCGGGCCTGGCAGCTCAGCGTGCAATAATTAGACTCTAGCAGGCCAAGTATACTTTGTGTTGTGTGTCAGTGATATTTTCTGCCTCAACCCATATCGCCATCCCACGTGCTTGAGATGACACAGGGGAAACATGACAGTTTGTTTTTGTTTATTATATCCTCCCTAGGTATCCTACTACCCATCCTTTTTGCCATTTTGCTTGCCATTTCTTCTCATCCCTTCATGTCTCTATACCAAGTAATCTTCAGACATCAGCAGCCATAGCCCAGTACAATAGCAAGTGAAACTTTGTGCATATATTTACCAAAAAAGTCTGTTTATGTATGGTAGCAGGAGTTCATTTAAAAAAAACCTTTAGGGTTCAAGCATACCCCTTGCATAGACCCTTTCCCTTGTAAACGTCATGGCTGTAAATACATAAGTGGTTTCTTCTTAACTTGTGGCTTCATACACATTTCCTGAGTGAAAAATGACTGGCTAGCAAAGGTTAACAACCCCCACCCTATGTAATCATCTGGCAGGATGAAATTAGCTTACCATTCACTTTTAGCGATTACATTCTGTTAACTATATACTTATGATTAGCAAACACTCTTACTAGTTTAGTGCCAAGTATTGAGTTTTTATTTCAGCCATTCAAACAGTTTATATCTTTAGTTAAAACTACTTTTTTAAATCTGTTTTTTAGCTAGCTTTTTTAACTGTTTATCCAGTACGTTTAGCTAACAAATTCAACAGTTAAAGTTTTAGCTAATAATTTCCACCTGGTTTCAGAATTTTAGCTGTTTCCAATTATTTTGATCTTTTGTCATGATTTTATATCACAATTTCATGTACTTACACTGTGAGCTAACCATTTCAATGTTTTATATGTTTAGCAGACAGTTTTAACATATTTCATACTATTAGCTTTTCTAATAACCCACTGTGCCATTTTTTGCTTTCATCTAAATATATTTTCTTATTTCTTTGTTTTGACTGTCTCTCTCTATTGCTCTTTTACTTTTAGTCAACAGTTAAATTTTCTTCTCAAATTTGTTCAGGTTTTAGATTTTAAATTGTGTTTGTCTCAGGTTAGGCTTAGTCACACAGGCCCAGAGATCAGTTAGTGACTAAATGGCAACCGCCAGTTGCAAATGAAAAATGTGGTGGAAATGGTTGCCAGTCGCCAGCCCACCCCCATTCTCTGCGGCCTGCTGGAGCGGGAGGGCTAGTAGGAGGAGTTGGCCGTCCGGCTGCGGTCTGGGGTGTGGGGCCTCCCTGCTGCTGCGGAGTCGGGGTGGTCTGCCTCTCCCCACCGCAGGGAAAAGGGTAACACCACCTGGGTCTGGGTGCAATTCCCCCCTCCAGGGGCAAGGGTACCTAGACCCGGTTTGTAGAGTACGCTTGGGGAGTGTGATTGTGTGTACAGCGTCTCTTTATGTCTATCTCCATGTTGGTTGAGTGTGGAGTGAGTGCACATGAGAGCATGAGGGTGGGAATGGATGTTTGTGTCTGTGTGTGCCTGTATGTCTGTGTCTATATGTCAGGTTGGGTATCAGACGCCACCTCTCTGGGGACACCTCAGGCCCTCCAAGGTTTGGAGGCCTATCTCTACCCACCACCACTTCCCCTGCCGGTGGCGGACTCCCTCAGGTGTCGGTGTGCTGGTGGTTCTTTGTGTCTGGGGGTGGGCGTCCGGGTACACACCGGCTCACTCCTTGGCGGCCGCTTGTCGGGGCCTGGGGCCTGGGGCTCGCTCGGGCCCCCTTTGGAGGTGGGGTGCCCCCGGCCTCTCGGCCTGGGGCTCGGTCACTCAGGCACAGCTGGGGGCCGGCGGAGCTCACGGGCGCGTCACTGCAACTCCCCCTGGCTTCTGCTCCGCGGCTGCTGGGCGAGCCCTCATCTGGGACTCTCCTCAGCTCTTACTGGAACAGTGGCGCGGCTGCCCCTCTGTTGGTCTTCCGTGGTCTCTTGTGTTCTGGGGACCTCTGGATGTCTGGAGTTTTGATCTCCTCCATACCCGCTTCACACCCTGGAGGACGGGGCTGTGGCCCCCCCACACTCCCTAGCAGATCATTACATGGAGAAACCTTTGGAATGCAAGCATGCTGATCCACACAGGTATGCACACAGGTGTACACATGGGTATTCACAGACGCGGACTAAAGCTTTCTTGGCTGCTGCCTCAAAGCACACTGTGCGCTGTCTATCTTGCGTGCTGCACAATATCGTTTATTATTCAGTAACTATTGATATCTATGACTAGCTAGTTTATTGTGATGGTGCTTTGTTTTCTCTATTATTATGTTGCTCTTTGTTGTTTGCTGTCTCCTCTGTTTGTTTTTTTTTGTTTGTTTTTGTTTTGTTTTTTTTCTCCATACAGGTGACCCAGGAGTTGTTGTTTTTTTTTTTTTTTTCCCCTTCTCACCGTCTCTTCTCCCCTTTGGTTTTCTTTCTTTCTCTCCCCCTCTTTCTCTCATTCATTCCCCCTGTCCTATTTCTTAAAAAAAAAAAAAGAAAAAAAAAAAAAAAAATGACAAAGGATGAACTGAAGCTCTGCCATCACGTAATGTCGCATACTGCTGTTTCTGATGTCATTTAAAAAAAAAAAAAAAAAAAAAAAAAAAAAAAAAAGGAAATGGTTGCCAGTCGCTTTGAAACTCATGGCTAAAGCCCACGCAGGACGAGAGACTGATCAGGCAGACGCCGGCAACTTTCATCTGCTATGAAAAAATGTGTATTCTCCAATCTGTCGAATTGTTTCTGGTAGTTGCTGGCATGAAATTGCAACCAAAGCAATCACATGGAGCAACGTCGTCTTTGTGACCACATTTCCTTGGCGACAACCAGTAACCACTTATATCTGGTTGCGGAAAATATATATTTTTCCTCATGACCAGTGATCACCAGGTGATGTCTCGTCTCTAAGGTACCCCCAGATTAACTGGTCTAGGGGATTTCACAATTGATTTAAATAGTCACTGTAGTTGTGATGTACACGTCTAAAGTAAACATTATGCTAAAGAAAATTGTTGAGAATTATAACTAAAATATAAATTAGTGTCTAAATAACTTTCCACACAGTAAATCCAAACAGGGACTGATGGTGTCACTCTAATTACTTCTACTCATATCAGAAATTCTTTCTATTCTTCCAGAGCCCAGACAGTGTTTAAGCCTTTACTCATAAAAATGCCACTAGATCTTCTATGGCCATGCAATTTATCTAATTGGCTGCAATGAATCACAAAGAATAATTGAAAGGAGAGTAAATCTGTACAATCGCTTGACCATATTCTGCAGCATTATGTCAATTATGAAGAAATCACATGTGAGCCATGTGCATCTGCACAAAGTAAACATTTATAAAATTTCTTCCCCAGTAGTAATTTCCTCTTACATTATCTACCACGATGTGAAGAGGTTTTCTCAATGCTAGACCTCTGTGGAACTGCTCAAAGGACTATGTTAACTGACAGGAACCATCTTACACATTTTTCCTGGCTGATTCTTTTCTGAATCCAGTAAGAAAAATACGACTGATGATACAGTAATGAATCGTGCACTGCAGCTGCCATCTGGACCCATTTTTTGGAAGAAAATAGTAATCCCAGAGAGCTGATTAATGTGATTACATGGCTCACACTAACCCTGGAGTGGACTTTACAGACCTGTCTGAGGAATGCCTCCTTATTGGCCAACTCGTTCTCCAGTTTGTCATTGATGTCATGCACAGAGGTGGCTTCTCTTTGGGCACTCAGGTAACGTTTCTCCAGCGTGACAATCCGTTCCTCCATGTCTTCTTTCTGACACATGGCCTGTATAGAGACACACAAAAAAAGACTTAATATAACATCAACTTTGGGTGTAATATTTTCTCCTGCTGCTTTGCACACATGGAATTTGTACACTACTTTAATATCAGCACCAGATGAAAACTCCATTGGGTGTCTGGACCCACCCTTAAGTGACAGGGTGCTTGGGCATTCAGCACCTAGAGCCACTAAACTTCCACATCGAAACACTGAGAGACAGCTGAGGTGGTTCAGGGATGACTAGGATGTCTCCTGGGCACCTTCTAAATAAGGTTTTTAGACATGTCCTACCAGGAGGAAAAACTGATGACATTTCTTCACCGTATACTGGGTCTCAGACTAGACCCAGTATACGGTGAAGAAATGTCATCAGTTTTTCCTGATGATGATGATGACAGATATTGCAGGGTCTTTACTTTACAATATAAAGAACCTTGAGCTCACCATTATTGTTAATTGGCACTGAGTAAGTAAAACTGAAGTGAACGGAATTGAATTAGAGATTCTTCAACCACTTCCTGGAATGCACACAGAAAGCAGACTGCAAGTCTGCAAAATCAAACTTTTATCCCTAGAATGTGCACAAAAGTTAATAACAAATAAAGCCTCATAAAATACAAACATGCGCTGCTGTCATGAACAGAGGCAACATTATCATGGAATTTCTCAGACTTAATTTCCTCCATGGAGAATTGCTTCAGACACAAACTTGCGGTAGCACCCATTGTTTCCAAACCATACAAATAATAACAGTTATTCTTAGAACACTAAATAAACTGCTGCTGTAAGAGAAGGCATTGCAGGGTAATAAAACACGATTGGCCTGATAAGGCCATGTTTGTCAGCCCACGATAACTGCCTCTGCCCACATCGTTAGAAATCAATAGTAATTTCATCCCCAGGCGACAGGGGCATCAGCTTATGTTCATATCCAGCCCACTTCACTGATATTAACCTTGCACAGACATATAATAAATAGGACTATTATTTGGATCTTAACTGCCAGTTTTGGACACAACTGGCTCTTTTTTGTGCTTTATGCATCAACAGTCTTGAACCCGTTCAAGAAATACAAACGGTTAGTTATTTATTTAACATTAAGTGTTAGTTTGAGGCCTAGAGAAGTGTTTATCTGAAGTGTATATTTAGATATTTTTTGAAGGACTCTTCACTTAACTCACTTCACCCGATGAAGGCATTATGAAAGACCTTATACGTTCACAAGTCAATGTGCATGTTTTTATGTGAGAAAAAGACAGAGTAATAAAGAGCTGGGGAGAGTGTGAGAGCATATGCAAATAGAAGCTGTTTTTAGACCACTGCTCGATGTCTTTGATGTTTCTCTTGCAACTGTTATCCCCATGCGAATATGTGTGTGTGTGTATGCTTCCCCCTGTGCTCAGTTTCTGTGCTGTGACCTCTTTGATGTCCCTCTGGTACTTGTTGTTCATCTCCTCTGACTTGATGAGGTCCTTGCGGGCGGTCTCGAGCTCCTGCTCCACCTCGGAAACCCGGGAGGAGAGGGAGGACATGCGCTCCTTCATCTGGGCCAACTCGTAGTTCTGCTTCTCCAGCAGGTCCTGCAGCTCGACCACCTGACTCGCCTCATGGGCCGGCTCCAGAGAGCCATTGGACAGACGCTGGAGGGGAAAGAGGGGGACATGGAGTAAGAGGTCAACATATGAAAAGGGAAAATTATCCAAAAATATGTATGCGTCATGAAGCACAAAATTTGCCAAGGGATGTTTGGGGATGATTTCTAACTTTTAGTGTACTTTAAAAAGAATTTAAGAGCTTTTTAAAAAATGAATTCCCTTGCATGACGTCTTTTAAAACTCACAAATTAAGTGAGGCTTGTGGTATATAGGTAATAACGTAATAATAAAGTAGTAATAAGATCACTGACAAGTGAGGGTTAGTACAGGATTTGGAAATTGGTTGTTAATGTTGTGGCTAATCAAAGTAAAAAAATTCTTTCTTTCTTTTAAGTTAACACTCTAACTAGAACTTTTTCCTTGCAGTTGAAATAAATCTTTTGGATGTTAAATTATATCCCGAATCCTGAATGGTGTCTTCTAAGTCCATTCAGAATGCACACTTGCCCCACAATAATCGCGACAACAAGTGATTATATTTTCTTTCTTTTTTCAAGTGTTAACTTAGTAAAAACCCCAGTACCTAAATCAAAAATAGAAGTTTGAGCTTTGAATGCATGAAAATAAACACACTATCGAGAATAAAAATGAACAATGGTGCAAAGCAATTTTCTGATTTCCTGTCATGCCTCATCTTCCTGTCGTGTATTCAAGTGGGCCCTGAGAAATCAGCCATGCTTCCACTTCAGATACCATGTCTGCTTTTGAGAATGACATACATTTGCATTCTAATAAATTCAAGTTCAGGAGCTCACGGCTTTGGTTCTTCCTCTGCTTTGATTCTGGATGGTCACAAAGACTGAATCACACCAGACTCTGCTGGAGAAATTGTTTTGACACTTGCATAAGTAATCTGATTAGATTTGCAAGGTTTCCACTCCGTATAGCTCTCCTGGTCTCTGCATGAGGTAGATTAATGAGGAGGATACCGCAGAGATTCAGCTTACAAAAGGGTTTAGGGGCAAGAACAACAGAGGAAAACAACCTTATTATCGGTGCTAAATAACAAACATGCATATTTTAAAAAAGCAAATCTTGCTTTTATGCTCAATTGAGTTACAGTAAGGTGAATGAGAGGATTGAGGGAAACTGATCTTTTCATTCTCCATCTTCCTCTGCCTTCCTGCTATATTGTGAGGCACAGCTGCCCATCTTTGGCCATCCATCTGTGAGGACAAACCTAATTGGGCCTCTCTGTCTGCTGCCTGTGATCAATGATTCACTTGAGCAAGGAACAGGATCCACTAAATCACACCAGTGATTTTAATACGAGCATGCCAGCAGTGGGCCATGCTCATAAAAGAATTTTATATCTTCTTTATTGCCAAATGGCTCAGCTGTCCCTCTTTGTATCTGGGGTTTCCATCGATGGGCTTGTTTCACAGATTTGTACCATTTAGGACCAGGATAGTTTAAAGGGACAATGTTAATAAGAGTTACCCAACATTTCAAAGGGGTGTATTGCTTTTTAACTCTGAATGACCTTCAAAAATGGTTAAGTTTGGCTATGAAACAACTGCTCTCATTCATGCCTGCATGGATAGATGGACAGATAGTCTTGAGATGCCCCTCAATTCTTTATATTTTGCTCTCAGAACTAATGTTGGCCTTGAGCAATAGTTCTCCAAACTTTCTTAAGGTCTTTCAAAGTTTCTTCTTTGAACATAAGATGCTTTTTCACTAAGAGGAATGTTTTTGTTTATTAGGCCACTTAACGCTGCCTAATGAATTATCTAAACATAATAAAGCACCTTACTAAACAGATGAACTACACATAACAGACAAATAAGCAAATAACCACATTTTAATTGCATCTAGGCACGTTAGTACTAGCAGCCTGTTGCAAAAACACATCATTTGTTCCTATTTCTTTAGTTGAATATACAAAAAATCCCAAAGATGATGCAGTTTGTCAGACAAAATATTCTTGTACCAACAAGGTGATTCTCAAAAAGCTATTAGCTTAAAGTGACAGGGCTAAAACACCGTCTACAGCAGATAAGCAGCATTTGAAAGTCACGTCATTAAGAAATTAGATAAAACCTATGACATAAAACCTAAAAGACAGATCTGTCCCTTCAGTTACAGAAGAGGTGGTCTGCAATTCAGTGGTGCAAAAACTGTGTGTGTGTATATATATATATATATATATA